TTACCAAAGATTTATTCAGATCAATGATTTATTAACTTTGGCAAGGTTTCTCTAACCTTATTCACCTTCCACTGCAAAGCACTACTTATTTCTTTATTTCACCATACTTATCACTGCATCAGCAGGCCTGCTGGTGCATTTCCTGATATTAAACCTTGCCTCAGTAAAGATGTATAAAATGTTGGAGAGATTTAAACATAACCTTCCACACTGACAGGGTCTATTGTTCATATGTGAATTGATATGTTGCTATATGCTATTTATAATATGTTTTCCATAATAAGCTGAATGAATCAAAAGAGGTAATTTGTTGTTCTTCTCCTGTCATTTCAGTACTTGATGGAGGGAAGCTACAACAAGGTATTCCTTGCAAAAGGAAACATCCCTGCTGAGAGTTACACCTTTTTTATAGATATTCTGCTGGACACCATTCGGTAGGGATCAGTATTCTACACATGTATTAAACATAACCGTCTGGTTAAGACATGCACTGCTCAGAATTTTATGTTACAATTTGTTGTGCAACCTTTTTCAATCTCTAACTTGCAGATAGATATTTTGAGCAAATGAGAAGAATAGCAATGCCAAGAGCATTGGCTGCAAAACAGTTTTACCTATATCTTAAGACAGAACTGTAACTATAGAAGGGACATTTGAAACAATCTTGAGTATCTGTATATTAGGTGTTAGCATAGCAGGCGTTACTGAACCAGCAACGTTGATGTAAACTGTCCAGGGAAAGGAGATCCTTTCTTTAACTCTGAGACCTTTATAAGGCTGTAAACATTTCCAAAGCTTAGACATAGATAAATGAAGGAGGTGAGCACATTTTAAAGAGTTAGCTTCTTACCTTCTATCTTACTAAGGAGGAAAACTGTTTTAACTGTAAACTCTTCCTCAGTTCACTGATTGGGCAAGATTGAAGTTTTGGGTTTCAAGTGAGAAAATGACCTGATCCTGGTCAACAGCCCAATTTTCAGTGTTTGTTTGGTTTCTTGGGCTTTATTTAATATATTTGGGTCAGTCTTTGTTTAAAGCAAGGGCCAACTATCTTTGTGACTTTTTCATAAGTCATGGCAGGAAAAAGGGACGTTTGCTATGAGGCTTTGTTCCAATATGTGGTGGTGCAGGAGTGGAGCCAATAAGGTGAATTGTTGATTCATTGATGTTCTAATTCTTATGTATGATGATGAAATTTGGATCATAATCAGAACAACAAATGACGACCTCTAGTTCCCCTGTAGCTCTGAATAGAGTTGCTTAAATCCCACATGGAAGAAGTCGGTTGAAGAGGTTTAAAAGACTGCTTCGGGATTTCCCAGAAGCTGGAGTGTTACTGGGAAGACGGGAGAGTCGATCAAATCATGAAAAGCAGTAGATGGATAGATGGATGTTTGATCTCATTAAAATTTTAATGGGTTTGCATTTTGTCTGTTATTAGAGTTGCTTTGGAAAATATTGGTCAATAGAAGCCTCCAAAAAGCTACTTAAAGAATACATTTGAAGCAGCCAGAGTTGGAAACTCTGCTCAAATGAATCTGAAGGTCTTTTTGTTTTCAGGGAAGTTCTCATCGATATCCTGAAGAACTGAGAATGCTAACACATTTCTTCCTTCTTTACTGCTGCAGTGATGAGATTGCTGGTTGCATAGAAAAAGCATATGAGCAGATATTGTTCACCGAAGCTACCAGAGTGCTCTTCTTCAACTCGCCTGCAAAGATGACAGAGTACGCCAAAAAGGTAAAACTTTTAATATTCATTTAAAGCTAATCGTTTATCCGTGTTTCTGATGCTTGGTGCTAAATCTATTTATGAATATGGTTTGAAATGGGAAAAATTTAATGTTTTGGATTTTTTTACATAAAAAAAAAGGATAATGACCAAGCTGGATTTGTTTTTGTTGTTGTCCTATTTGACATCAGAGAGGCTGGACTCAAAACTCAGATGGCTGCTATACCTTCACCAGTCAGCACCAGCGGACAGAAGAAGTGACCATACCCTCCACAGAGCTGGCAGAGCAGGTCATCGAATACGCACGACACCTGGAAATGATTGTGTAATCCGCCCCCAGGAACACTCAGCCATGCAGAGACGTGCTCGGATAAACACGCCACGTGTCCGGCTACATCCAGTCAGCCCAGACAGTTCCACCCAGGGATGCACATTTTTCAGAGTTCCCTCACGATTAGTCCTTAAATATATCTGCAGATCCCTCTGGTTTGTCAATTGGAACCTAACTAAAACAAATTGCATTCAAACTAATAACTGTTATTGGGGTTATTCTCTGGAGGAAAATGCTATTTTCTCTTACACATATATAGGGTTATTAGTTAAAGCTGTCATTCTGGGTCAGTCAGCACAAATCAACATTCTTTGGATTTATTCAGTCCAGAATGACTGTAAAAAAAAAATGTTGTTTTTCTTTAGTTCCCCACAGAAATAGTTGCCATTTTAGTTTGTTTTCTACGCAGGAATGTCACTTCTTCCCTGTAAGGTTTGTATGATGACAGAATTTTTTTGTTTGCAATAAACTATTCAGGAAATCATCCTTTTTAGTGTGTTTATTTATCTATTAATGTTTTGGTACCCTTTAATTAAAGCATCTCACTACTTGGCGCTTAGTTTTTACTGAAAAAAATGATCTTGGAGAAAATATTAAAAATCATCAGATGATTCATAATGTTTTTAAAAACTTTTAATGACAAAGCAAATCATTTTAATTTGATCTGTGGGAATATGATATAAAAAAAAAAGTGTGAATATTGAAGGTTGGAGCCTGGATTTTTTTTATTTTTCAGGTGTAAGTTATATACTTAAAAATAAAAACATTTTAGAAGTTTACAAAACTCCAAACATGATGCCTACATGCCGTATTAAGCTTGTTCGATTCAATGCCTGAAAAAAGTGAATAGATGCTTGTTATGCAGGTAATGTACACATCTGGACACCTTCGCTCGGTCCCATACAATTGCATTTAATTAAATTAATCAATGTATATGTTTAATTGACTGAGCATTTAACCAGATCACAATTACCATTTATCTAAATTTACATTTTATTTTATTTTTTTAACCCTCAAACTCATGCTTTGCATCTTAAAGGATTTTTCTTAAGGACTTCACAAATATTAAGCTTTACTATTTAAACCCTGTGCACTTAGTGTTGCTTTCATAAACATTTAAACTATATTCCAGGTTTGTAAACCCCCACTTCAAATACAGAATTGGGGATTATGTATTATTAAAATAATTATCAATTTTCAAAAATATATTTTTTGAAAGTTTATATATTTATCTCAGCTAAATAAAGATGTGCTATTTGGATACCAGAGAATTATTTTCTGGACTTTTTTAAATTTTATTTAAAATGTTCTTTTTTCAAAACTGTTCTTTCTAAATCTAGTTAATATAAGATACAAGAAAGAGGCCTGACGTTACCATAGACCAGGGGTCAAAAACCTTAATATAAAGAGGCTATTTTGACCCTTAGGATAATCCTCTATTTACTACATGAAATCTGTAACTGCTAAAGAGTCACAATTTTATGACTTTCAGGTTTAAAAAAAGAAAAATTATTCAAATTCTTAAAACTTTTACAATGAGCATACAGTTTTTAACTCAAGGAAAAGAAAGATCTAAACAAACAAACCGATTCTTCTAGTTTCGTTCAGTTGTGGTAATCAAATTCAATTATGCAATTTTTTACCTTTATTCAAAAGTGTTTGTTGGCTCTTCATTTTACACAAAGTTATTAAGACCCACCCTGGAAGGTATAAAGAAACACTTCTTTTACATTAATATTTAACATTAAGGTAATGAATAACATTTATGTTAGGGTCCAGCAGAGTGTCTTCAGTATGTCATAAAGGTAACATTTGGTCCAGGAAACTACTTAAAACTTTTAAATTATATAGGCTACACACAGTTTTGAAATATAACAGTGAGACTATCATAAACAAAAGAGTTGTTGCTGCTTTATCGTCGGTCCCCTGTGTTTAAGAGCTGCTGCTGTTTTTCCAAGGACAAATAAATAATACGATTCTAACACAAACAAATTTAAGAAGAGGTATTGTTAATTGTACTTTGATTCAACGTGGAAGCAAATAGGGCGGTGTTAGTAGTGACATAAAGCCAGTCTTGGTAAGAAAATTTACCTGTTTTTCTACATTAGTTAAGGAGAGGATGATTTTACCCATCATATATAATATACAATGGTGAGTGGCGGCCTAGTCGTAAGGGCATAGAGCTTGGAATCCTGAGGTAGTGAGTTTAAAACCCACTCCCACAGACTGCTACTCTGGCTCTCTGAGCAAGACCCTTAACCCCCCCGATTGCGCCCCACGATAGCAGCCCACTGCTCCAAGGGGATGGGTTAAATGCAGCTGTAAATTTCTCCAACATGAGATCAACAAAGTTCAATTATTTATCTATTATAATTATTACAAACAAATGATTGCACGCAGCAAATTTAGAATGTCTTGTTTTTATTAAAGCAATCCCATTTGTCATTTTATCTTTGATAGTTATGCACTACCCTCTGTCTATCACTAAAATTCCCAATAAAATACATTGAAGAAAGTGAAGAGAATGCAGTTTACTGCGCAGCCGCAGTGAGGAGCGCCAATTGGAAAGCTTGTCGCTGTCCGCGGTGCTGAAACATTCATTCACTTAATAAAGACAGGAAGAGGTTTTTTTTTTTTAATAGGCTATTCAATACTTATAGCTTATTTTTAAATATTGTTTAAAGAAAATAAAAGAAAAGAAAATACGTATCTTTATATTTTTAATGCATATATGTCTTTTTCAGACATTTTAGAAGGCTCAACCAGAGGTCGTTGATGCTTTTCTGACACATCACATATAAAGGCACCTCAGCTGTCATCTGCGATCATTTCCAGTGTGCTTTGAGAAAGTCAGCGGCCCACCTTAAGCGGGGATGCTGTCAATGATTAGTGCGGATGTGCTGGCACAGGGCAGGTAGAGGGAGAGGGAGAGAGGGAGGGAGGAAGAGGAGGGAGGGAGGGAGGATGCTGCCAGCGGAAAATGGCTGCTGCAACCTCAAGCCTATCCTGATAGACAGAAACGACATCAAGGTGGAGAGAGTGTGTGTGAGAGAGACGGAGGAAGATTAGGAAAATGAGAGCAGATGGAGAGAGAAGGTGAAGCGAGTCTGAGTGTTTCCTGAAAGGAGGAATAAAAAAGAAGAGGGAGAGAGGAGAGCCTGGGGTGGGCTGCTGCAAGCGGCGGGCAACACCGAGCCATGGAGGGCGAGTAAGTCCTTATTTTTATTTCCAACGTCCCTTATTTATACAGAAATAACCAGCGGAAAGGACAGAAGGACGCCAGCAGCATCCCCAGCTCTGCATCCTGGGCTGTTCTCGCAGTTGGCGCTGTGCAGCTTAGGAGGCAGTCGAGAATAAAAACACCATTACGTAGTCTTGAATCAACAGCATACACCCCATATCCGATATATCCATGCCAGTGTGTGATAAATGTGCGGCCACATTCATGAGGGAGCCGCCGCTCGTTATTACGCGCGAGGAAGAAAAAAAAAAAAAAGACGCACAGCATAAAGAGCGCATTTTAAACCCAACCTGAAGTAATGCAACGATTCAGGTTCCAATTCGCACTGCTTGAAAACAACCACCAAACAGCCAGTGTGTAAAATATATGAAGGAGGGGGGAAAAAGACGCTATATGGCGAGTTTAAGGACCAGCATCGCGTCATTAAAGTGGAATGAGGAAGGGATGGAGGCGCTGTGATTTTTATCAACGTGTCTCGGGGTTTCATTATGATTTTTAAAGCCAAACTTTATGAATGAAATGTGATTTTTTTTCCCTCTCTCTCCCTCTCTCGCTCTCCCTTATTCTCACCCCTCCTCTCATTCTTCCCTTTTCTATTCGTCCCCCTCCCCCCATCTCTCTGGTTTCCTCTCTCCATCCTCTCACCCACTCGTTTTTCATTTCTCCTTCTTTCATTTCCACACTGTCTTTAGGCCCGACTCTCATCTTTATCAACATATTTCCTATCGTTTCTGGTGATATGTATAAGGCGCAGTGCGAAGAGGAGCCCAGTCCCATTCATAAAAACATATAACATCAAATCGGGGTGTGTTAATGAGTCCGTGCAGCAGGGGCGGAATGGAGAGAAAATTATTGCAACAATAAAAAAAAAAAAAAAAAAAAAAAAAAAAGATGCGGAAACAAGGGTGAAAAAAATAATTTCCGACATGATTTCATTCATATAAAATGCGGTTCTGAATTATTCAAGCGAATGGAGAGTGTGCAGCTCGTTTTATTTATTTATTTTATGTTTTGCAAGAATGCCTGGGCCTCTGATGTCGAGTGGGTGCGTTCATTGATACGTCTATGTGGGAAACACTCATTCTTCTTCCCTCCTCCCATTTCTGTCCTCCTCAGCGGACTCTGTGTCCCTTTGCATCCACATTTCTCAGCCCGTGTACGATTCATATATATATATTTTTTGCGTAAAACGGGGTATTAGATAAGGAGAAAACGCAATGTGAGGCCTTTTTAAGCGCCATACAGATCAACGCTCCTAGTTCTTTGTGTGAAATTTAACAGGTTGCATCTTCATTCACACAAAAATCCGGACTGCGTTTCTTTGTTCAGTTGTTTCATGAATTATTTCCTTTGGACAGCGCCAAATAAGGTGAAATATAAATCATGCATAAATTACACCTGCAAGAAAATGTATGAAGAATGTTACATTGGACTGTGTAAGTTTGCCTGAATTGAAAAAATAAACACTTTCATTAAATGCATCAAGCTAAACATCCTGAAGGGATGGCTTTGCAGCACATGCAGACCAGCATTAGGTATGTAAATAATTTAATTTAATTTGTAATGTAGGTATAAATCTCACATTGGCTGTTTACTAGCAAAATCTAGACCGGGTGGGGTCTAGAGCTTTATCCCAACTAGTTTTATAACAAAAACAGATACAACTACACGGTTTTCCATATCCATATATCAGTTTAGATTCATATGACTAAATTAAAATAATACACACTGTAAAATATTTGATGCTTTCTTCAAGGTGATATTCTAGAATCAGCTGCTTACTTTATAATTGTTCTTTTGTTCTTTACTGAACCATATTTTAACTATTTCTGAGTGTAGAAATAAGCAGTTATGTACTTTCAATGGGGATTTATTATCGTATATAAGACAAAGAAACGTTCAATATTCAAAAACAAATCCATCAGCATCTAGAATCAGAATAAATTTTTATATATCAACTTTTTTGCACTTTTTTAGCACAATGAATTTTACTTTGTACTTTGGTCCACTTTCCTCACAGTGAAGGCATTTAAAATATAAATATTTATCTTTTATGTATTATTATATAAATTTTCCTACAAAAGAGGAGGTTAGATAGCTGTAGACTGGTATAAAGCTGGGTAATCTGACTGTTAGATGTTCATCAGAATGACAACCTGGTGGAAAAAACTGTCTTCATGGCTGCTATATTCTTGGCCCTGGAAAAGATCTGGATGCAGGGAAGGCCAGCCCTGATGATCCTCTCTGCAAACCTAATTTTTTGGTTATAGTTTGGGCCTTTCCTGTGTTATGCAATGACGGACAGATAAGGTCAGCAAAGGACATGATCAGCAGCTCCTGTAGAACTTTGTTCATGTTGGAGCAAGAAGTAGAGTCTCTGCCGGGCTTTCTTCTAAACAGTGTCTATATGGGAGAACCAGCTAAGGTGTTCCAGAAAGGTTGGTCCCCTGGGCAGTGGAAGTCATCCACAGCAGATGTAGTATTGTTGAGGCTGTTATTGAGAGTGATTATGGGAAATGGTCCGCAAACCGTCATCTCCACTGTCTTGAGTGGGTTAAGCTTAGTTCAATGCTAGTTGTGCAGAACTTTTGAGTTTTACAGATATATGCATTTTGGTTTTAATCAGACTATTTCTTGCTTTAGAGGTTTGGCCCAAACGTCAAGTTTGGTTTCACCATATCATAGAATATTCTTCCCCTGCCAATGTTTTGAGAGATTTGATCCAGCATGTTTTGTTTCAAATGTGTGTTTTTTAGAACATAATGTAAAAGACTATTATGAAATGTAGAACAAAACCAGCACTATCAGCTCCTTTTAATCAAATTGAATAAAAAACTGTGCACATAAAAACTATTAGCTGTGCACAGCTATATAACCAAGTTAGAGTAACTTTTATACATTTTTCTGGCAGACTTTCTTTTTTCAGTTGAATTGTAACAAAATAAAGATCCATATTTATCAATGTTTGGTGCACAATAAAAATAAGTATTTACAGTAACAACCTGAGAGTAAAAAGCTGATGGTTTTCTCTCCCTATACAGAGTTGGAAAAGAGAAATAAAAAGACAATTTAGTTGTTTGATATTTTTTTCAACAGTTTAGGGCAAATCCTTTTTTGACCATAAAGAGAAAGTTGGTGAATTAGTGACTGCCAGATCAGTATCATGTAAAATCCAGTAAAAGGGGAGCAGAATTGTTTGTACTGTTAATGTTGAAGATCAGTTAAATTATGGTTTCCATCTGAAATTAGGTTATTTAAAAGTGCAGCTAACTTACATGACTGAAAACTCCCCAACTTCACTCTCTAATTAAAGTCATTATGTAACAGTGTTTAACAGTGGTTTAAACCTTTTTTTGGAATGACTATGACATGTATGACTGAGAATCTTCACCAGTAAAAGTGGTGAGATGAAGTTTTCCTCTTTTATTTGGAATTTGAACTTTGCTATTGGAAACAGGAAGAACTCATGCAAGGCAAGAACGTGTTTTTGTGTTCATGTAAAATACGTATGTTAAAATATTAGGGCCCCCACACATGCTGCGTAAACCCTTGATCACTAAATAAAGAGCAAGCTCCACATACTTTGTACTTTTCACGCATGCTAACAAATAACACTGGGGTGAATGTTATGATTATTATGTCCATCGTCTTTATCTGATGACCTTTACTTCTCTTTTTCCCAAAGCAATGGATGCTTCGGCAACTGCTTGTTAAGAGTATGGCTAAACTCTCCTATGGTGCAAATGTTCTCTGGACACTCGATGTCGGGTCCCTGTGGATTAAATGATTAACATTTTAAATGCTGGCCTTCATGTGCAACAAATGATGCCAGATTTGGTGCCAGATTTAACTCTTATACCTTGACCAAAATGCTGTACAGCTTTCTTCCTTTGTTAAGTTGATCTGGTTGAATGAATAAATCTGAATATGGAATTTATACTAGCTTATTTATAGCTGTTGGATTATTGAAAATGATGACTATATAGTCTTAATTAAAAGAGTTTTACAAAAATGTGTAAATATTTATCTTCAATCATATTAAAGATAACATTAAAAGGCAGCTTTGGTAGTTGAGTACGGGGACTAAATTTAAAAAGGGAATGGTTCCAAAGTCACTTGATATCTCAAATGAATCATAGTGTGTTAATTCAAAATAGCTTAAAAACATTAGTTAAACATTTTTTGTGTTCACCAATACCTAAACAGCTCACTCCCTCCCCTTTCACTGCTAGTGTGCGTGTTCGCGCTGTGGTGATGACACGTGATGACTCCAGTGGCGGTTGGGTTCAGCTTGGAGGCGGCGGCCTCAGTCACGTGGTCATATGCAAAGGGAGGAGCCATGATGGCAGGAGCCGGAGAGAGTACACCATTCGTGGAGAGCGACTGCGAGACCGAGCAGTGAGTGTGTGCGTGTGTTACGGCTGTCTTTGGTGCCACGTTGCTCGTCAACACCATCTAAAGACTGTAATTAAATGTTGCATGTTGATGACAAAATGCAGTTAAAATTCCTTAAAAGCCTTTGAAAAAGCCTTTGCGCTTGCTGTTAACAAGTAGTTAATAATTTACCTATTTCAGCACTAATAGCCTCCCTCGGTTTCTGTTTATGAATCTATAGTGCTGACACTATAGATTGAAGGCAATTCCCTAGTAGACCAGAAAAAACTTTCATGGTCTGAATTCCGTAGCTTTTTTAAAGCACATCTGGACTCCCCAGGGCCGTACCACCCTGGGCGGTAAGCCACATTCTGTCACTTTTACATATCCGTCCTGTTTGGGTCCATCATGCATGAGGTATTAACATTCCATGAATGGCACCATGTTAATTATTTATTTTGGGATGATTCAGGACAACTCGGAGTCATAACTTTGACCTATATGGGAGCTTGATCAGTTTCTGAATTTTGATTAATTAAAATCTAAGATGTAGTTAAGACCTGCAAACAGTGTCAGGCTGGTTTTGTAGAAAAAAGCTGAAGTTTGTCAGACCAAATGGGTCTGTTGTCCACTTAGAAACCATGTAGCCTGAGTACAATATGCATGGGAACCACATATATGCATGTTGGGTGGTGCTCATTAAAACCTGCCACAATGTTATGATTTCAGAAAGTGTCTGAGCTCGTTCTTGCCTCTTATTTTTGCTGTTCTGTTTGCAGCCAGTACTGGAGTGTGCTGTCCAAAGAGGACTGGTATACAACAAGGTGAATCCCATCTTCCATCACTGGAGAGTAGAGGATCAGAAATTTGGCCTTACATTCCAGAGTCCTGCTGATGCCATCTCCTTTGAAAAAGGGCTGCAGACTGTCTTAGACAAGCTGGAAAGAGGTAGACATACACAGCCAACATTTTAACGTTTTTAATTTGAGCTAGGTTTAAGATATTTTTCTGAATATCCTTTTTATTATCATAAAGGTTCTGACTCGCCGTCGTCCTCCACGCCAGAAGAGGCTGACACTGAAGATGATGGTCAAGCTGTGAGTTTTCGAGCACACTGAGTATTTTCCCTCATACGGGTCTGCGTGGTTCCGGTATGTGTGGTTGACGGCCAGCCTCTGTCAGTCCCATACAGGAAGTGAGTCGTCGTCCAACAGCAGAAAGGAGATGCTTCCCAAATCTATCACCATAGTGACAAGCGAGTCCTCATCCACCTGCTTCGTCCTGCCAGAAGAGTTCAGCTTTGGATCCAGCCATGCCGTCACCACTCACACGCCTGCTCAGGTACATCACAGACTCTGACACAGACTCGTTAAAAAAACATGCATTAGTTGGATGCATGTGACCCTTTATCACCATCTGATTTATCACCTCTTGTTTATCACAAAAACAGTTATATTTATTAGGAGATGTTGGGTTTGAAAGCTAATATGAGCTGATACCGATCCCATGCCAATAATATTATGCATCCCTAATACATTGGTGTTCTAAAAAAAAAGAGACTTGGTTGAAAAGGTGTAAATCTACATTGTATTTATCTGAGTAGTTTTCACCAGAGAGACAGCCGGTGAAAGAAACTGAGGTTGCCTGTTTTTGCAAACACCACAGACCTGAAGCTAGAAGCCTAAAGAGTTTGTCTCCAGAATGTGTGCATAGATGATAGCTTCCCTGTCCTGGCCCTAAACCTGTGCACGTTCTGGATGGAGGGCGTTAGGATTTTTATAGATGATGTGTTAGCAGTCCTATTTTTGACAGCCATCTTAGATTTAGTCTTAGTTTTAGTCTTCAGGATGAAAACTATTATTTGTCTTAGTTGCTTCTTTGTCATTACAAAATGGGATAGTTTTAGTCAGTTTATTCGACTTAAAACTGTCTAGTTTTAGTCAGTTTTATGTTACGTCATAAAACAGTTATCCGTTATAATTTCGAATAACAACCAGATTCTTTACCAGACTGACAGCTCTTGCTTAGATACTACAATAGCTGGTTCTAGAATACTGCTGTGCGGTTCATCATTGCTGTTGGGCAGAAAACTTTCATTTATAGAACTGAAATAAACTTTTGTATGAATTAATGCCCTACTTTATACCAAAGTGTCTCACAAAAGTGTGAAAATAGCAGATCTATTTCAACACATCATGTTGGTTAATATAGCAGACAGACAAGCTAACAAAATATAAAATAAAGGATTGGTTTTAGACATATACTGTTTCCATCCCAAAGCAAATACTTCTTGATCTACTATGAATTATGCATTACACATCTTCAATACGCCCAAAAAGCAAAGAACAAAAACATTCTTCTTTCTACTCTGGCAATTTCGGCTTTATTTCTAAAAAATGTACCCCTTGGTTTATTGCTGCTCAGGGGTCAAAATAGATTTAAATTCAAAGGGGTCTGATATATATAAAAAAAAATGCAGAGAAAACATAATACATAATACATAATTGCCTTATAATGCCATAGCAATCCAGACCTAAATTTAATGAATATGCTAAAATGTTGAAATATTCAAAGGAAACAGAGAAAATGCTTTAATGACAATACAAGGAAATATTTACATCATATTTGAATAGATAGAAACAACAACTATGAGAGAAATAAGATTTATGTACCTTTTCATCTGAGTCTTTATCCAAAAATAAACAGTATGCAATGAAATATTTTCTTTGGATATAATTTAAGGATTCCTTTTGGTAGAAATGAAAGAATGTTTAGTATCACCTCTTGTGAGGTGGAAGAAATAAAATATTGATAGTTAAAGGTTTTTTTTTACACTTTGCAGATAATGATCAGCCACATATAGTTTATTAAGTAGAGAGAGCAGGAAGAGCTATACTGCTGAGAGCGAACCATCAGAGTGGAGCGTAAAGCACAGTCAGAGCCATGCACGCACAAAAAAGCATTTCAGCACAAGCACAGCTGGGAGAGCAGATTTTGTCAGAGTTAAGAGCGCAGTACTAGACCATTCCGACTTATTTTCTCCCCCGCCGCTGCTGCCATCATCCATTTGTGGTCATTCAGAACGTGCAACGTTGCCACCAGGTTTGCTTACCACAGGACGCAGCAGCACGGCAGATGCTGCTTAGCAGATTAGAGCACAATTATGCATTTTAAACATGTGACAGACAACCCTCTAACTTTTTTATTTAGTCTCGTCTCGTCATGGGTGTGAAGAACCACACCCATGACTCGTCATGTTTTCGTCATCAAAGATCCACGTTTAGCTCGTCAGTTTTCGTTACTGTCATGAAAAAAAGGGAGCGTCAACGAAATGATTTTGTCATTGTTGACGAAAACAACACTGTGTTTGAGTCTGTTAAACCCTAATAAAACCTGCCTGTTACATGTCAAAACTAATGTTTTCCAAAGTGGTTTATCTAATTAGGACAGTTCTGTCAGGATAAAAAGTCATCTTCATTATACGCATGGCAAAGATTTAGGAATGGAAGTGTCCTTGATCTAATAACACAGTGTAATATTTTAACCTCTCTGGTGCCATGGATGTCTTCTCATTTACAACCGTTTATGATGTAAAGATGTGATGTTGTGGCATACTAGAGTTGTATAAAAATGGTTCTTTAACTGTGATTCGGGTCGACTTCAACGAGAAGCGAGCCCGGTTGGTTGGCGTGCCTTCTGTTGCCCTAAGCAACTTGTCTGGTCTGAGTAAGAATTGTAGTTTATGTCAAAATCTGTTGGCATGTCTCATGGTTATTTAATACATATACATTAAGAAGTGTCATTTAAATAATTTGTCCCAAGTGATCCCTTCTCAGGAAAGAGAGAGAAAGCTTAAAGGCGTAAACACAGAGCTTTTCTTTACACGGGAACAACCTGATTGTTTGCTATATGAGCATGTTCTGTTTTGTGATAGAGCAAAACCACACACCGTAGATATGCACAAAGCAGACTGTAAAAATGTGGGGCTCAGCTTCATACTAATTGGGTCTTTGCTACTGCGTCCTGGTAACAAAGAGACTTAATATCCAGTTTAAAACAGTTATTTACTGATACTTATCTCTCTTCTGTGCAATGTAGAAGCAAGTTCATACCAGATTGGTTGAAAGGTGAGATTTAAATTGACCTTTTAGCTGTTCTCAGTAATTTTTTGTTTGAAAATTCACAAGAATGGTAAAGAACTGGACTGAGAATTTGAAAACTCAAAAGTTCCCCATAATTAATAAAAAAAAGCGTCAGAAAGCAAGTAGAAAATATAAAAATAAAGTCTGCCCTTGGAAGCAGAGGACAAATACATGAGGTTTGATCCGGCCTCTTTGCATCAAACAGCAGTAGGACATTGTTTCCAGAGGACCAACATTAGAACCTGTAGTTTCACTCGGACATTTTAGGGAATTTTAAATTTCCTCAGATGGAAACCTTCTATATTCAGAGCTGTGGTACACAATGTTCCTGACACACTGTGTAACACTACACCCTCTCCACAGATCCACACCAGGCCAGGACAGCACCAGCTCTCTCAAATGACGACTGTGTTAAACCCCCCAGCGCCCCCACCTCCTCCACCGGCTCCACCAACTCCTCCTGCGGGTCCCCCAGCCTCCTCCCCTCTGTCCCCTCTGTCACCAACCATTTCGCTGCTGGAAGAAGGGGATCTACGCAGTGTGGATCCTTGCAAAGATCTGTGGGGTTCCCGGGGCTATGAGGATTATAGACGTGCGGGTGCGACAAGGACTATGGTTGGGGGGCTGACAGGGGGAGTTGTCGTCGGTGGTGGGGGGAGTCTACAGGACAAGTCGGAGCTCTGCGTTGTACGCTTCGAGAAGGAGTTGGCCGGAGTGGGTACGGCTGGCTGCGAGGTGACCGTGAGCCTTGACAGCAAAGCCTCCCAGCGCCTGTCATCGTCGTCGCCTACCTGCATGTCCATGCCCAATGCCGTGTCAGGAGTGTCCTCAGGTGCGGGCTCACCCCAGGAGACGGGTAAAGGATCCCCCTCCCCTTGCTGCATCCACACCTCGCTGGCCGCGTCCCGGTCGCGGACTCGTAAGAGAGGAGGAGGGGCCAGCAGCAGCGATCCGGGGGCCATCTCGCCCGATGACGACAGCCCGTGCCCTCAGGCGTCATCATCGTGCTCATCACGCTGCGTGTACTGCCGCTCAGTTTTCAGCGCCTCAGAGAATGGGCGGGGCCGCTGCAGGGACGCCCCCGACCCGGCCCTGCACTGCCTCCGCCAGTGGACCTGTGTGTGGTGCGCAGAAAGCCTGCTCTACCACTGCATGTCGGACTCTGAGGGAGAGTTTTGGGAGCCTTGTTCGTGTGATGACTCTATGGGGGGCCACCCGCACCCCCTCTGCTGTGCCCGCTGGTTGGCCCTCCTGGCCCTGTCCCTCTTCGTGCCCTGTATGTGCTGCTACCTGCCTCTGCGCGCCTGCCTGCGATGTGGGGAGAGGTGTGGCTGCTGTGGGGGAAAGCACAAAGCGGTCCGATGAGGCCAAGCTGAGGGGTAGGAGGGCTTCCCTGGACCGAGGGGTCTGGGTATCAGTTGGGTGGAACAGGTGCTCTCAGCGGAACCAGACATCCAACGCAGTCCTCCAAAGCCCCACAGCCTTCCACTGATTTCTGCTCTTTCTCCTTTCAACCGGGGGGCCTTCCTCAATGGTCCATGCCTGCTGCAGGTGCTCTGCACTCAGACCAGGCTCTTTGGGAGTCATCTGGAGCCTTCGTAGTGGATTTACCGGGGCGTGGCTATAAAGCCGTCAATGACGTTAGTAAAGAAGGAAGGTTGGCAGAGGCAACAATGGTGTGTACACTGTTTCAAATGTCCGTTTGTTTTTGTTTTTTTTATTTAGCAAGAAAATCTTTGAAAAAACAGCAACAAAAGATGTTTATATATATGATTGTTATAATTTTAATTGGTATATTTTATTAAATGTAAAACACATCAACAGAATCCCCAAATGGCACACACACATATACACACCCTCACGTATTCACAGACACAAGCTCTTGGGGAAGTTATTTGTTCCATGTTAAACAGACGTCACCCTTTACCTCTAATTTTACCTCAGATGTTACTCAAACCTGGGTTAGAGATTAAAAAAAAGGAGAAACACAAAGGGCGAAAGATTCAGAAAGAGCAAGCACAAACAAGTGCAGTTTTCATCCATGCATCTGAGACCACAAGCATCGTCTTCTAGTTAAAGTGCACGAATTATCAAATGCAAACAGACAATTGATGTTAAGGGAAGCTGCAATGACAACTACAAAGACGTACAAGTCATAATAGTCCATGATAGTCCTTGGTGACCTAGCTTTGGTTTCATCAGAGTCGGCCCAATGTTGTACTTGGCTGTATTTAATGTGAGGAGGCCCACTTCCTGTTAAGCCCATCTCCCACTGGCGACTACTAACAGTTTCAATGCAGATTTGTACAAGTCAAGAAGGGGTGCCTCATTTTTAACTGGCTGTGCTTACAAGCAATCATGGCTATTACTGGGATGCAAAAAAAAATCAGAACAGTACTGGGTAAATAAAATAAAAACATACCTTTATTTGTAGGGAAAATAAAACCATCCAAACTAGCTTAGCTCTAAAAAAGCAATCACCACCCCTCGATAGAATATGAGAATATAAAAAAAATTTGTTAAATAGAATGTCTGACATCCTGACGTATATCAGAACACTGTAATGTTTTCCAGCATTTCCACTCAAAACCCAATAACCTCTAGAGATTATGATCAGTTAAAATAGAGTGATATACCTCAAGATGTAAATACCTAATATTGTTATTTAAATGACAGCTAATGAAAATACTGAAGATAGTTTTTTTCTTCCCAAAATTTGAATAGTATTTTAAAAGCCTAATAAAAACTATGACAGTATATGCCCTCAGCGTTTAGTTAATGAATAAGTGCATCAAAGCAGATTTGAATGGAGGCAAACAGCTTTGCTGGGATGTTAAGGAAATATACCCTGAAAAAAATAATGCAACCGTCTTTGGCATTTACTTAGTTATATTTAGTTACTTTATCACAATTGTTTCATGTTGGCAAGGTAGGAATAAAACAATTGTGTAAAGTAAACAAATACAGTATAATTAAATAAATGCCAAAAGCTGTTGCATTATTTTTTTTTATGTAGATTGCCTTTAATATTGTCCATCAGCTCTGCATTGTTTTCTTAGGTGTCTTTTATCAATATTCTACTGATTCTCTGAGATATTTAGGTCAGGTGAGTCCACCAGCCAATCAATACATGGCAATACATGGCCGTTAAAGCACTTTGACGCTCTCTTAAAAGAAGTCACTATTTTACTAGATGTGAATCATCTAGAGATGTTCTGAAATCTCCTAGTAGACGGCTGTACTAGCTGCCCTTACTGTGGACGCTCCACATTGGACCACAACCAATTTGGCTTTTGTGCCTCTCTTTTCAGTCTGCAAACTACTGGACCTTCATCTCCTTATGAAAGGATAAATATATTTCACATCATAAGAGGAGTTTGCACCTTTTTAGAAGCCCTTTTACTGCTCAGGCCAGACACTTATGATGATGCCTCTCGCTAAAGAGTGGTTTAACATTAGGAATGTGACCGTTGTCTTGAAAAGGTCTGTAGAAGTGACCCAAAAAGCTTTTCATTTTTTTATTAACTCAACTAACCAATATGCTTACAGACAGTTAGCTTTATACAGATTGTTTAGAATTTACATTTTGTTGTCTGCCTTCCTAACTGGATGGTTGGTGACTGAATACTGGACAATTGTTTAGCAAACTTCCTCATCGACCATTGTATTTGAAACTGAATGTTTGGTTTTCATCATTAGAAAACTATAGCCGTTAAAGTCAGCAGGAATGCTGCTTGACGTATATCACTTTTTTTCTAACTGACCTTTACTTGACTTTAAATTTCTGAGTGAAATTCGAATAAAAATCAAAACTCTTTTCTATAGATTTAATGCAGTTATATTTAGCAGATGTTGAATACATTACAGGTTTTGTAATTCCCAAATCAACTTTTTAGAATTAAAAGCAATTCTCATTACAAAACAGTACGTTTTGGGTAAAAATATTAATTCTGTGAAATGTTAATCTGATGGTTGTTTAGACCCTGAGGAGGGGCTCAGTTTTCTTATACCTTGGGCCGACTCTGTGCATCAAGCAGTAAACACCATTCATTTGCACGTTTCCCCCCATTTTTCCATAAAGTTGTGATATTATTCATAAAAAACACCTCATCCCACTCACATACCTGATGAATCAGATGAGCTGCTTAAAACTGAGGCCTCTGATTGAGTTTATTCTACCTAACAGACACACAGGGACCCTACAGGATCCAGATTCAACAGAGAAACCACCAAAAAAGAAAGTGCAATGTACATCTAGGACAGGATATTTATGTACCAGTCCTCCAGGTTGGGAATTAGAAACCAAAAAGTTTAAAGTGGTGCTGTGTTTAGTATTAGTAGCTGAACAGGAAAGGAGCATACATTGTAAAATGCTGCTGCAACTTCTAAGGAACAGAATCCATCTTATGTCAGTTTTTAGTTTGCAGAATATAAAAATAAAAAGATTCAAATATGACACAAATTTATTTTATTTAACATGCTTGACATTCTGGCTGTGACTACTGTCTCTAAAAACTAAAACTACATCTTTTATGATCAAGGGGAGCGAAAATGTATACAAAAAAATATGAACCAAAAAGCATACAAATTAGTAAACAGTTGCACTTTATTCTGAAACGAGGATTTCTATAATAAAAATAAATGCTTTTCATCAGTTAGGTTGAATGCACTTATACAGCAGCGCTTTCAATGTGTGCATGTTTCTCATCATTCAATTGGCTGCTGCAAATTCTTTCTTTAAACATCACACTGGTTTGTAGAATCAGTATTGTGGAGGAATTTGTTAGAAATTCAAATTTATAGCGATCTCAACATTTCCTCCTCTACTTGATGAGAAAAATGTGGCGATTATGATAAAAATGCATTTTATCCAGCTGTATTTGACAAGGCCAGAAAGTTTATCAGGGAAATACTTTTGATTTATTTCGTTATGAGCTAAAATGTAACACAAATGGCTTAATGTCCACCAAGTGCTGTAAAATCCCAATCTTCTCCACAGGTTGTTTTTCAAAGCCCCCCTGCAACAATAACTTGGTGGAAAAAAAAAAAAAAAAACTGATAGCTGGAGATAGAGAACATTTTCCCAAACTTGTTTCAGAACTTACCCTTGATTTAAGCTTCTTTTATTTAGATTCATGCCTCAGCCTGAACTAAATACTCTAAAGTCAACAGATTTCCCACCTTGTCATAAGAATGGCGGCGTAGGGTACAACCATAGTGACATATTGTGAAAAAGGTAAGAACACAATTTATGGGAATGTTATGAATATTTGATATATCGAGGGCAAAAAAAGCCACGATTCAATACACAACTTGTCAAAGATTTTTATTAAAGAGAAATTAAACTGTAGAAAAAGATATTTAAAGAAATGCATCTAAAATTACTTGAGTTTCTATTTGGTATTTAATTATTTAATAGTCTTGTGTTGGAGCAAAATACAAATTTCTCTTATCTGTTTTAAATGTCAGCAAAATGCAAGCTGATTGGTCGGCAGTTGAAATGATTTGCAATTCAACCAATCAGGTAACATCATTTATTTAATCAGCAAACCGAAGCACAGAAAATATGAAATTATTAAATCAATACTTAAATTAAGATTTCTCGTTTTTTATCTATTGCAGTTTGAGTTAATAATTATTCTAATTTGTTTATTTTAACAAAAACTTATAGATGTTTCAAAAATATTTTTGTATTTATCATAGTTTATTATTCACAATTTTGTGGAATTTTTTTTTTTTTTAAACTCAGATTGGAGTTTTAAATAATGATTTGCACATTTTACTTTGTCATTAGTGTGTATTAATAATTACACATTTAAACAAGACATTTATAAAATGGATTTCAAACTATTTGATTTGTTTTTTTTAAATAACTACAAAGTTTATTTGACGATTACCCAATTTCATTATTGATGTACTTCATAAAGGATTGAGACATTTCCATATATACCTTTTTGTATATTAAAATTATTTAAATGACTAGAGGGAAAGCAATCTTTACAATTATTGTCCTGCAGATTAATTTGTATCATATATTTTTATTAGGTATAAACAATTATAAATCTAGTTTTATTTAGTAAATTAATTAAATGATCACATAATTATCAATTAAAACTTTAATTTAGGTTTGAAATGTGTAATTAAATTGTTGACACATCTGAATAACCATTTATTAATTTATATATTTAATAAATATTATGATTTTATTGACATGATCATATTCATACATTTTTAACACTGTTTTTATGTATTGGATAGTGGTGTTTTTTGTCCTCGATGAAAACAAATGAGCACCAAAGATTAAAAATCACAAATGTGTGCAAGAATCTGTGGGTTTTTAAAACCCTGGATCCCCATTAAGAGAGAAAAAATAAACACAAACATAACTTCTGGCAGAATGAGCCTTTCAGACGCTTCATATGATTTGTAGTTTAGATTTAGCCAAGAATCTTTTTTTTCCAAAGTGACTTAAAAACAGCGGGGTTCACTCAGGACACGCTCAGGAGATGCTGGCGAATGCAGCCTCCTCTGGAGAAACGAAGTAAAACAAACATCCTGTCTTAGTCGGTTCCTTGACTCGTGTGGCACACCACCATCGTCCCCACCAATCTGTGCACACAAACCAGACACAACCAGTTCACCGGATGGTGCAGATAAAACTAAACCGGTAAAGCCATTGCACACAGTTTGCTCCTTCTGGTTCAGAGGAGTTCAACTCTGACAGTCATGCAATCACAACTGCAGGTCCCATCCTAACATCTTAATAAATGTGCCTTTTGATTTGAGTAATCATTAACTTTTGATTTCTAAGTAACTCTGTATTAAGTACTTTTCCTTTTTATTTTTGGGGGTCAATGATTTCTGCCAATGAGCATATTTTCACATCTATGTATTTATTAGTTTCAAAGTAATTATTGAGATATTTGACCTGTTTATTTATTTATTGAGATATTTATTCTAATTCTTTATTTTTTGAGACAGGTTTTTATCTTCTGTGCTGTCTTAATTCTGACTTTGTGCCAATGTGCTGCTTTGAGGTGTTACATATCGTGGGTTTGTATCATTATTAAACCCTCACTCTATATTTTAAATCTGAGTTTTCTTTTCTTACATTTTGTTTTTCAATCCACTTGGATATAAAAAACGATCTAAAATATAAGTAAAAATGTCTTAAATTAAGTGTATTTACACTTAATTTGAGCAGGTTAAGATGATTTACCAATGGAATGACTATTTTTACTCTTAAAATAAGATAATTAGATAATATGCACTTAATACAATGCAATTGTGTTTTCTTATTTTAAATGTAAATTGTCTCGTTCAATTGGCAAAGTGTCTCACTTACTTCCTCCATTCAAGAAAAAAATGCACTTAATTTAAGAAAAACTACTTATTTGGATTTCAATTTTTTGCTATGTAAAAACAATCAATTTTTGACTATACTTTAAGGGACTGAAAAAAAGTTTAGACAAGTTTTAGTAAAAAACAAAGATTTATGTTCATTTTCTTACAGTTAATCTTTACCATCTTTGCAGACTGATGGAGAAATCACAAGCAGTGACCATAAGAAAAATAAACAGGTTAAAAAGTCCTAATGAGAAGAAAAGAAACCACTTCAAAAAGTATTTGTTTTGACATTAGGGTTAAAAGTTGGTGCCTAGCAGTCCTCATCCAGTCACTTTGCAGAAAACATGTGCTGCCTTTTATGTTTAAGGATCTCTGTGGAGGTGAGCTTCAGGTCTTCGTTACAGACGTCACAATGATAGACCCTCGTCAGACCCGAAGCTGAGGAAGAGCCGGCCTTTCCACCTTCCGATTCTGAAACAGACCCGTAATTAGTGCCCTGTCTCTTGTATCTGCAGATGCATAGAGTTAAAGAAAATAAGTAGAGATGAATCTGAGAATTTGCTGACCTCCGGCCTCCTGCTGTTCTCCAGCAGGCCTGCAGGAAGCTTCGTGATGCATCCGCTCCAGAGGAGTCAGAGGCATGTAGAGCTCACAGTTCGGGCAGCTCCAGAAAGTGCGTAAACACTCGCTGTAGAGATCCTTTGAATCCTGATGATCACAGGAGGAAACAGACTTTTAGTCAGATAGTTTAATGAGGGAAGTTGAATCGCTTCACTTTGTGACTCTACAATAATACATCAGACCTTCATTAGTCCTTGACTTTTGCAGCTTTTTGACTAATTTTTATACAAAAAAAGTAAACAAATAAAGTCTAATGCCGTTTTGAACCCAAGAACTCCTAACAAATACTTGAATTAATTTCTAACAAACTCACAGCGAGACAGTTGTAGGTGAAGAAACTTGTCACTCTTAAGCCTCCTTTAATGGGATCGGGCTTGGCTTCTGCTCCTGGAAACAAGGGGCTCAGATCCGGAACCACAGAGAATGATGGATCAGCTTCGCTCTGAGGACCGATGTACAGGTTCTGGGTCTGGAAAGCAGTGAGGCGCTGAAGGCTGTAATTGACCTGAGAAAGAGTGAGAAACATCAATTAAACTTGGTTCGCTATTAGAAAAGCCTGATTGTAAAGTTTTTGTTTCATTTTACTGAGATATTTAGTTTTGATATATGAAGAAATATTAACAGTAGATGTTTAATATGGAGTTGTAGGGGAAGGAGGATATAGTGAGTTTTAAGGTGTAGATATGAGATGAAATGGAGTCGGATGATCCACTGAAGGCAGCAGATGAAAGAAGACTCTGAATGATGCATGAATGACTGCGCCATTATGACACATCTGACATGCCAGAGAGAGACGGAGAAATGTCTGCCTCTGGAGGTCCAGAATCAGGCAGTGGTGTCTGGTTCCTTCATCCTTCCCTTTATCCCGCTCTTCCTCTGCTGCTGTAGGCCGACCTGCCTGGTTCTGGTATCAGAGGAACGCCCCACACTTTAAAAGGTGGTTGGCAGGTTGAAACCCAACCATTAATGACATCATTCTGTCCATAATGGTGGGATAAATAAATAACCTTATAACCAACTTATGGATATCAGCAGGTAAGAAACTAGAGCCTAAATGCTTTCAATTATTATTATTTCAATTATTTACTTTTAATTGGACATTTTGGATTTTAATATTTAAAATTAAAATTTTATAATTCATTTTAGTAAAAACTAAACATCTGTTTTTGCCTCATTTATTCTGACAATTCTAGAAAAGCTTTCTATTATTTCTATTTCTTTCTTTCCATTATTATTTCTATTAAAGCTTTCAATTATTTTCTTATTCTTTTCTTATATAATTAATTCCGGTAAAATAAACCGAAAACTCAATTCCTAATAGTTATTATTTAGTTATTTAATTCTTTGTTTTTAAAATCAAATAAACTAGTTACAGGATTTTAAAATATTATCATCATGTTTCATATTTTTCACACTTCTCTAAGGTCAGTGTCAAGTTAAAACAGCAAATGGTGTATTGGTGTGAGTGCAATACCATCTCCACCCAACTGGTACGCACCTCACAGAAATCAAGCGCACCCATCTGTCTCACTCAGGCCTTCAGGAGCCTATAAAGTAATTCAACACACCTGTGTTCTGAGCAATCTCTACAGACAAAGACCTCATCTTCAAGCTCCTGCAGAGACACCACTGGTAGGAAATGAACTTTAAAACATTAAACCTGCATTCAGAGGACCTAGCAGGCTTTACAAAGATGGATTTATGCATTTGGAATTAACTTTGTTTTGCTTATTTATTGATAACTCAAAAGTAAAAAACATTGACTGGAAACTTATTAATTCATTGTGTTTTGTTTATTTGTAGGTTTTCAACCTGCTTGGTTGTCTTGTCTTTGAAATTGAAGTGATTTAAAGAAGAAAAAGAAAAGAGAAATAAAAAGATGACACTGAGATGAGTTGGTCCTGAGTCTCTTTGATGGCTAGCCCTTTTCAAGTTTGGGCAGAAGGCAAGGTGGTTTGTAGAGGCCAAAAACTTGACAGTTGAAAACCAGTGGAAAACCACTTGGAAGCCAATTGGAAACCAGTTGGAAACCAACTGAAGACCTGATGAAGGTGAAGTCCTGACAAAAGGGCTTTGACAAATCAACTCAAGGAGGACATCAGGTCATCTCATCTGTACAATCCACAATGGCTGAAGAAATGTTTGGAAAGTCACTGAAACAATTGAAGCTGGATCGCACCATGGCAAAATCTTCCTTCACCAAGCAAGCAAACTTCCTGAGCAGAAAAGCTTCCAACATGACAGAGATGGAACTGCGAGAGGAGTTCAAAAAGCTAACCTCTGATGCCAGACATGTAAGTGATTCAAATGATGATTACAAAGCTGGACTATTAGCAGAGATGGAAGTTGAAGCTGGTGAACTTGATAAACGGCAAGAAGCTGATTTGGAAAAGACTATTGATGACTGTGAATCAAAATTAGAAGAAGTCAAACAAATAGTTCAGTCTAATTTGTGGAAAAAATATGGTCAAGATGAGCTCTATACTGCAATCCAAGAGGCAGAAAAGGCATGTAATGATGCTTCTGACATAAAAGTTTTAACTGTGAACAAAAGTGCATATGAAGTCCAACTGTCCTTTGTGGAGAATGTGATCCAGGAATCTATTAAAAGTTTTGTGACCTGGGAAATATGGATTCCTGTAGAAGAGAGGGACAATATTGAAGACAGAATAAAACAGATTAAATTGATGAAAAATAAACTTCAAGCAAGAAAATCACAGTTTGCCATAGCACAAACGATCGCAGAGGAGAAGAGTAAATCAGATGCTGCTCAATCAGACCTTACATCTTTACCTATACTAGCTCCACCCGCACCCATTGTAAAGATCAGGCCCATTTGTCTACCAAAATTTCATGGCTGTAAAAGAAACTTTCACAGATGGAGAAAAGACTGGGAAAGTCTGCAGAAGCAGGGAGAACCAAGTGGCTCAGTGGAAGTGAAAAAGTTTCAGTTGTTGGATAGTGTAGATGAAAGGATCTGTAGTGAATTACACCTGTCTGCTTATGATACTGCTGCAGATATGTTCCGAGTGATGGAAAATAGGTATGGCGACAAGTCAAGTATTGCTTTAGAAATTATTGAAGAGCTTGAGAAGACTCCACCCCTGAAAGCAAACCAGCCAAGGAAGGTGATAGATCTTATACAAACAATTGAAAAGGCTCTAGCTGACTTAACAGAGCTAGGTAACATTGGAGCCATGAAAAACCCTCTGGTTATTAAATCTCTAGAGAGCAAACTACCTGATGTTATCAAAAGAGACTGGCTAGTTTTTATGGTTAATCCTGCCAATGCAGTTACACCAGATAACCATTTTGATAGTCTTCTCAAATTTTTAAAAACACAGGAGGAAGTTCTAGAGAGATTAGAGCAACTTGGAGTGAGTGAAAAGACTGAGAAGAAGGTTGAGAAACGACATGCTTTTACTCGATCCACAAGAAAGAATCATGTCTGTATTGTGTGTGGAGACGCAAGACATGGAGATAAAATATTCTTCTGCAAACAGTTCAAAGAAATGAATGTACCTGAAAAGCTCAACATTGTAAAGACATTGGAAACATGCAAAAGGTGTTTGAGAAAGCATGAAGAGGATGCTGGATGCATCAACACTTACCTTTGTAGAAACAAAGACTGTAAGAAAGGGAGCTTTTCAGATCACCATTTCCTCCTTTGCCCAAAGGGTGAGCTTACAAGGGTTGGGATTGATAAACCAAGAAGGAAAAATAGACTAACAGAAGAGCAGGAGAAATTCATAGCTGGACTTTCACCAGAACTAGCAGAAGAATGCAGAAAAGCCTTTTCAAATGTAACTGCTTCAACAAGAAACACAAAGTGTGAAGTCCCTGGGCTTATGGAGTCATATGGACTAAAGGAGCAACCTGTCATTCTAATGCTGTTGGAAGTCACTGCAAATGCAGGCCAGAAAATTGGCACTTTAATTGACTTGGCTTCTGATACCAATTACATTACTCATCAAGCAGCTAAAAGGTTGAACCTAGAAGGTGAGAACATAACATTAGTTGTTCATGGTGTTGGGGGAATGTCAGTCAAAGTTAGAACAAAACGATACCTGTTAAAAGTTAGAGTCAAAACCCCCAAAGGCACAGTGAAAGCCCACCAGCTCATTTGTTATGGACTCAGTGAAATTGCTAAAGTGCATAAAGTCATTCAACCACTGCAGCTGCAAAAGTTTTTCCCAGATGTTGACCTGGAAGACCTCAAAAGACCAGATACCATTGAGCTGCTAATAAGTCACAGAGAAGGCAGACTGGCCCCTCAAAGAGTCAAGGTTGTTGGAGACCTGGTCCTGTGGAACAGTCCACTAGGCATGGCCGTGGGAGGAGCTCATCCGGACCTTTGTGAAGATGTCGACGTGGCAGCACACAGGTCAGAGACACACTTTGCTCGTTCTATGCGCACTGCTGCTGTAAAGTATGAAGAAGTCTGCAGTTTCAAAGAAGTTAAAGCAGAAAGCAAAAGTACAACTACCAATAAAGAGTTCATTGATTGGTGGAAGTGGGAGAGCATAGGAACAGCTTGTGAACCAAAGTGTGGTGGATGTCGCTGTGGGACATGTCAACCAGGTGGAAAAGATATGACATTAATGGAGGAGAAAGAACTTGAAATAATTAAACAAGGTCTTACCTATGTGCAAGCAGATGACCACAGTGATGCTCCCCACTGGGATGCAAAGTATCCTTGGATTGTAGAACCCACTTGTCTTCCCAATAACAGGAAAAGTGTTGAATCAACTTTCTTAAGAACAGAAAGACGATTAAATAAAGAGCCTGAATGGCAAACTGTCTATGCAAACCAGGTGCATGAAATGGTGGAGAGGAAAGCAGCAATAAAGCTAACAGAAGCCACCCTAAACAACTGGAAAGGACCAGTATGGTATGTAAACCACCAGGTGGCACCAAATCCTCATTCTGTGACCACTCCTGTGCGTTTAGTATGGAACAGCAGTCAAAGATTTGAAGGTCTAAGTATGAATGATATTCTGCTGAAAGGTCCTGATGTTTTAAATCCTATTCGTGCTGTTCTACTCAGGTTCAGAAGGGGACTGCATGCTGCCTTGGGAGACATTAAAAAGATGTATAACTCTGTGTGGCTTGAGGACCTGGAGAGACATCTACACAGGTTCCTCTGGAGAGACAGCTCAGAAGAGGAGATCGGTGAGTTTGCCATTACCAGAGTTAACATTGGGGATCGACCTGCTGGATGTATTGCCCAAGTAGCAATGCGAGAGACAGCAAAACTGCCCATATTTAACAGCTGTAAAGAGGAGCGGAGGATCCTGGAAGAAGACTGTTATGTTGATGACATCTTAACATCTGACAACGACCCAGAACTTTTGCAAAAGCACACTAAGAAGGTGGAAGAGATCTTACAAGCTGGGGGATTCTTTTTGAAACCATGGGTCCTATCAGGTCAAAGTGGGAGGCAAAAAATGTCCTTACCTAGCAGGGAAAAAATCTTTACACTCCCTAATCAGTTGAAAGAAGATGATAATAAGGCTTTGGGAGTGGGATATCTGGTGGAGGAGGATAAATTATATGTGATGACATCAATCAACTTCTCAAAAAGAATGAAAAAAATGAAAGTGGGACAAAACCTAGAAGAAGGAGAAGTGAGGGCAAATACTCCAAATCCTCTCACTAGAAGAGAACTCCTTAGCCAAGTAGCTAGTCTTTTTGATCCCATTGGGCTAGTCACACCCACCAAACAGAAAGGAGCCATTCTAGTGAGGAAGGCTTTCCAAGAAACCAGAACTGCAGGTAAAGCAGGTGACACTTGGGATCAGCCACTTTCTGATGGGCTAAGAAATGAAGCCATTGAGTTGTTCCAGGAGTATGTGCGCCTTGGCCAAATTAAATTTCACAGGAGTTTAACACCAATCAGTTGGATTGGAAAGCCCATAGGAATAACTTTTTCTGATGGAAGTGACAAAAGTTATGGTGCAGTTCTATACTTCAGATGGGAGACAGAGCAAGGGATCCAAGTGAGACTTGTAGAATCCAAAGCAAAACTCACTCCACTTGACCAGAAAGGAGAACCTGTAAAAGCAGAAATTTGTGGTGCAGTGTTTGCAGCTCGACTGAGGAAGTATGTTGAAAAGCACAGCAGGATGGAAATTGGAGGCTGGTACCATTTTCTGGACAGCCAAACTGTGCTAGGAGCCATTCAGCGTGACAGCTATGGATACCAAACTTTCTTTGCTAACAGAGTTGGTGAAATACAGAAAGCTGGGGCGGTTGCAGATTGGTGGTGGATTCCAGGTGAGCTCAATGTCGCAGACATTACATCAAGAGGAGCATGTCCTGAGTACCTCCAAGAGGACTCACAGTGGCAAAATGGACCAAAATTCTTGTCGCAACCTATTGATCAATGGCCGATAAGATCAGCCAAAGACATTGCTATAGGTGCAAAAGAAGGTGTTGAAAAGCTCCAGAGAAAAGCTTTCTCAGCAGTAACAACCAGAGCACAGTCTAAGCAAACTAAACAAAAAATGTGTGATGAGGATGTGACAAAGAATGCTTTAAAAGCTACAGAGTGTAAAGAAAAAGACAGCCAACTCAAAATCTCTCCTCTTACATTCATTGCCAAACAATTAATTCAAGAGAGAAGATATAGTAGTCTTTCTAAACTAGTCAGAGTCATTGCATGGGTGAGAAGAGCTGTTGAAAACTGGAAACTCACTTTGGAAAGCAAGCAAAGTGGCAGAAAAGTGAAAGGAAAAATTTCAACAGATGTCAAACAACCAACCATCCATCCTGGGCTTAGTGTTAAAGAGTGTGAGAATGCACTGAAAGATGTTTTCCTGGCTGCACAAGTGAGTACCTCATTCAATGACACAACTTTAAACAGACTAGTTGTGTTTAAAGAACAAGATTCTGGACTTCAGGTATGTGGGGGTCGTATTCAATCCTTTAATGAAGACAAAAGAGTTGTCCCCATTTTACCATATGACTCATGGGTATCCACATTGGTTGCTCTTGAAGCTCATGAAGTAAATCATGAAGACATTGCTGGAACATTACTGCAGATGAGGAAGAAAGCATGGGTGGTGAGAGGCAGAAGATTGGCTAAAAAAGTTGTGGATAATTGTGTGACGTGCCGGAAAATCAGGGCAAAGAGATGTGAACAGATAATGGGCGATCTTCCACCAGAACGAACACTGCCTGCCAGACCATTTGAGTTTACTACTATTGATCTATTTGGACCCTATGAAGTGAGGGATGAGGCCCGGAAAAGAGTTAAACTGAAAGTGTGGGGCATTATCTTCTGTTGCATGTCATCTAGAGCTATTCACACAGATCTTGTAAGCGATCAGTCAAGTGAAGGATTTTTGTTAGCATACCAAAGATTTACAGCCTTGAGAGGACATCCAAGGAAGTTATGGTCAGATGGCGGAAAAAACTTTATTGGAGCCAAACCTGTCCTGGCTGATCTTTACTTGTTTTTGGACCATCTAAACAAAGAGCAAATTCAACAGGAAGCTTTGAAACATGGAACTGAATGGAGCTGGAAAATACATCCTGCAGACTCCCCCCATAGGAATGGGGCAGCAGAAGCAGCTGTAAAGATAGTCAAGCAAGCATTGCACAATCTAGGATCAGATGGAGTTTTTACATGGAGTGAATTTCAAACATTCCTGTATATGGCAGCTAATCTGGCTAATGAAAGACCAATAGATGCAAGAACTCAAAGTCGAGAAGATTGCATAAGCTACATCACCCCAAACTCTCTGCTGCTTGGAAGAACTGATCCAAAGAGTGATAACTGTGGATTTGACTTTAAAAGTTATCCACTCAAGAGATTAAGGTTCATTCAAACAGAAGTGGACAGATTCTGGAGAAAATGGAGTCAACTAGCTGGACCAAATTTGTTTGTCAGAAGTAAATGGCATTCAAAGAAGCGAAATGTTGCTGTCGGAGACATTATTTGGCTTGCAGACCAAAATGCTTTGAGAGGTCAGTACAAACTTGGCAGAGTGATTAGTGTAAAAAGTGACGGAAAGGGGACGGTAAGAGATGTGCATGTTCGTACTTATCCAAGTTACCCCGTACCACTTGTGAGAGCTGGAGGACAAACGAGGAAGATGAGGAAGGAACTTCAAATGAAGATACCCTCAACAATACTTCACAGAGACGTAAGGCGCATTGTTGTGTTATTGCCAATAGAAGAACAAGAAAACCCTGCTGGGACAAGATCTAGTGAAGAGAAAGAGGTGTGACCTCCTTAGGTTCAAAGACCAGGAGCTCAAGTGGGAGGTGTCAAGTTAAAACAGCAAATGGTGTATTGGTGTGAGTGCAATACCATCTCCACCCAACTGGTACGCACCTCACAGAAATCAAGCGCACCCATCTGTCTCACTCAGGCCTTCAGGAGCCTATAAAGTAATTCAACACACCTGTGTTCTGAGCAATCTCTACAGACAAAGACCTCATCTTCAAGCTCCTGCAGAGACACCACTGGTAGGAAATGAACTTTAAAACATTAAACCTGCATTCAGAGGACCTAGCAGGCTTTACAAAGATGGATTTATGCATTTGGAATTAACTTTGTTTTGCTTATTTATTGATAACTCAAAAGTAAAAAACATTGACTGGAAACTTATTAATTCATTGTGTTTTGTTTATTTGTAGGTTTTCAACCTGCTTGGTTGTCTTGTCTTTGAAATTGAAGTGATTTAAAGAAGAAAAAGAAAAGAGAAATAAAAAGATGACACTGAGATGAGTTGGTCCTGAGTCTCTTTGATGGGAGCAAGCCCTTTTCAAGTTTGGGCAGAAGGCAAGGTGGTTTGTAGAGGCCAAAAACTTGACAGTCAGTCAGGTTTTGATCGATTTCTTAAAGCAAATGCAGAACTTCACTAAATTTGTGTGTTTTGGTTCTAATTTAGACTCTGCAGAAAGGTTCATATTTGACAAACAATTGTTTTTTCTCTATATGTAACAAGTCCCAGAGGAGAAGGATATTTTAAATATTTCCAGGCTTTAAATGTAGAGTATTGCAACCTTAGATTTGAAATGTTTTCCAGATTTTTCTCTTCATTTTAGCATCCAGCTGCAAAGCAGTGCATCAAGGTAGAAGAAGAGAAGGACGTCTCACTGAAGCATCCATTTTACCTCAGTGTAGAGCAGGAAGCGGACCAGGCCGTCGCTCAGCTTCTCCATGTCTCTGCGAGACACTCCTTGGCCTGAGGAGTCCTTCAATGAGCTCTGTCCCAGCTGGGCCTTCAGCAGACGCTCCCACTCGGACCTGAGACTCAAGGATGTGGACAGGACCCTCAGGGCCTCCTCGGGCTCCTTCACTTCCAGCTCCAGCCAGCCGTCCACCACCAGCCGGGTGCAGTCAGCGTTGGTATCCACAGAGTTGGCCACCAGTAGCAGAGCCTGGTGATCAGAATGTTGAACAGACTGATGGTCCCACAACAGTGATTAAATACAGCTTAGACTGTTTTAAATGTAATCCTATTAGGTGGACTTTAAAATTATTTACCAATAAAAATTGAAAAACAAATTATTGCTTTGGTACCAGAAAAAAAAGGAGCTTAATACTAATCAGGGTTTTATTATTTATAAAAAAAACTTCAAAAAAGGTTTTGTTTCTTTTCCTCTTTATGATGATTTATGATGCACCAATATCACATAGAATCCCGATAAATACCCTAAGATCAGTGGTTCATAAAATTCCCACTGCCTCAGTGTGTGGGAATACTTTACTAGAAGCAAGTTTGTTCTTTGCCAATCCTAATTTAAAAGTTAAAACACGGTTCAGTCAGAAGTCGGGACGTCCCAGACACTGACCTGCAGAGCTGGCACCCGAACACAGTTGGACAAATACGGTTTGTTGGTCTCCAGCAGCGTGACGAAGGCCAAGAGCTGATGTTTGCAGCTGTCCCTCCTGTCAGGTCCTGCAGGGCAAGAATAAAGAGAAAATGTTAGATAAGAAGAATTAGCTAATGTTGTAGTGCGAGTTTTACTTCATGACTTTCAGAAGCCACAAAAAAAAAAAACTGCTCTATTTTCTTTGGTCATTAATGTTTTACTATAGAATTTCTAGTTACAAAACATGTTTTCATTAAAATAACATAAATTTTATAGTTTTTAAGCGAATCAAGGTTTTTATTAACCCAATTTGCTTTACAGCATTTTTAACAGAAGCAACATCCACACTCATCAAGACATGTTGGCTGGTGCTACACTACATTTTAATTTAGACAAAAGTTTTTGAGCTTTGTAGTTTGTTTCCAATCACAAGAACCTTCTTGATTTCTTTTTTTCTGGGTGGGAGTTGATTAAGTTTTCCAGGCTATCTTGCAATAATTTTCAACCATTTCCCTTCAACTTTCAGAGGATAAATGAGCCCAGGTCAGAACTCAGCAAATAACTAATAATAACGTTTTTGTCCCCAGTTTTTTATTCAAAATTACAACAGTTTTATAGAAAGAAAACAGGATTTCAGCACCATCAAGGTGATTCCCACAAAGAGGTATTAGCTGCTAAATTTGTGATGCAATGTGTGTTGAAGTGAAGAATAAGTTTAAGACAGATGTAGAAAGATGCTATCAACCTATTATATTATATCCTATTATATTATATCCTATTATATTACATTATTTTATATTATATTACATTATTTTATATTACATTATATTATAATATATAATACTTCACAGTTTAGAAGAACACCCAAATAACCACATTAAAAGACCAAAGTAAACGTTTAGGAGGAATATATGTAAGAACAAGGTGGTAAGCATCAACCTAAAACTGGGTTTTATTTAATTTGACAGAAAAACAATCTGATGTTGAGCTGCTGAAATCATTTGAATCAGCTGTAGTTACATTAGGTGAAATTTCTAATAACATGAAAAGCTTCTCACTTTGATGTTACGGAGACTTGATCTCAAATAAGTCAAATCTCTGAGAACTGGACAGTCAGGTCCAACAATTGGATAAAAACTAAAGAGAAATTTAGCAAAGAAAAACTTTAGAAAGCTTCGATTATAACTGATCCAGTCCTTCTTCATAAATTGAAGGCAACATTTTGCTTAGCAGGAAACTTCAAGCTGTAATTCAACCCATAGGAAAAGATGTTTGTCTGATCTGTGTATCAAAAAATCAGCTACTGGTTGATAAAAAAAGATAGACAGATAAACAAAGCGAGTTCATTCCTATCTATCAAGCTATCAGTTTCAATGGATCATAAACATAATTGTTTAAATAAAGACAAGGAGGCTACAGAGGGAGCAGTATAACATAGACATTCTTCTTTCCAGATCATTGATGGTTTTCTAGGACAGGTGTGACTGTTTCCTTTTCTGAACGGTTGATAGAGATGTCAACCGTAGACACAGTTTCTTCTTTTCCACCACATCTAAGTTGTAAAACATTTAAAGATCTGTGCAATTAATGAGGTAAAATCCAGTTTGCAATGAATGGAACTTTAACAGGTAAATCTGGGGTCAGAATATTAGCAGAGTGGAGCTGATAAAGCTAACCCTGTGTCTAAACATGTAATGGTACAATTTTTTACATAAAAAAAATTAAGTTACTCTTTAAAGATGACTCTGTTGTTTCCTAAATGAACAGAGCTGGTATGGTAGGACTCCGAGTAAGGTGATGTTTTTTTAAGCCGGGGATGAAGAAGCAAAAACAATTCTCATGTGGTTAATGTGTGTTAAAAAAAAGGCTCATACTGAAGAAGCTTTTTATACATCTGCATAACTGAGTAGCTAAAGATCAACATAAAAACACAAAACTACATGAAGAACAATAATAAAATAATTAGAAATTACTCTTATTACTTATTTAAAAATGATTTTAATAATCCCTAGCACAAAGGAACACATACTATACAGAGAATGTCAACTAATATTCAGAAATAACTTGTAGACTCTGTTTGGTGTGTTTGAAACACAGTTCAAATTTTATTTAGTATTCTATGAGGTATTCTGATGAAAAAAACAACAACTAAACGGCTTTAAAAATTTTTTCATTACTCAAGAACATCATATAGCAGGTCTAAAGAACTTTTAGTTTTGGTCGATTTATGTTCCCCCCAGTGGACAAAAGCTGTATTGTTTTGCCTGAAGGAAGACAACATCTCCCATAATGACCAGCTTTGTAAATTCCTGATCTCTGAGTCTCCGCTGTTGGATTGAACTAGATTTCCGTTTCCAGTCGTTGCATGAAAAAAAAAAAGAGTAGCAATGAGGTAATAAGAGGTACTGGCCTCTCCTAGACCTGTCAGTGACTGATATTCTGACACATTTACAGCCTTGAAACAGATAGATATAAGGTTATGTTTAATAATTTCACTGTAAACAAACGTATAGATCCCAGAAGGAAGGTGCCGCATTCCCTGAATATCAATCCTGCACAATTTGCACAAAATTTGTCTCCAAGACAAGTTTAGCCGCATCGACTTCTGTCTTTAGAACCAATGAGGGAAGTGATGTGTGCCGTAAAGCAGTCTGCACATTTGTAGTGTTTTAGTGTGGCAGGGTTAGAGCCGCCCTCCTTAAATTTGCTTAGTGCCTGTGAAAGCGATATAGACGCCACTCAGGCCATGACAGAGATATCTAGTTTTGTGTTGATGTATAATCACCAAAGTTATGGAAATATTTTATGGTTGAAAGGTTACTTAGTGTTGGTTTAAATTTTCTAAGCTGTTGTCCACCTGAGTGAGGTCACCTGTTTCTCTGGCGTCGCCCTCAGGAACATGCAGCACCTCTGGATCGCTGGCGAACACACTGGTCGGGTGGATCACCACGCCATGCTTGTTCCTTGTGTGAAACACCTACAAAGGGTGACAAAAAGACACGACTTTTTAAACCATATTTCATGTTAAAAATCAATAAAATGTGCCCTCCACATTCAAAGCTGACCCCTTAGTGAGGAGGATACTAAAGTAAACGTATCTCTTTTCTAAAACAGGAAAAAACACAAATATTATTTCTATTACTAGTTTAGTAATATTAGATCTTTTCAATTTGTGAAGGAAAGAAACCTCAGTGCATTGAAATATCTGTTTTGAAAGTACTTCAGTTTGCCCAATGATCAGGAATAGGGCTGCAACTACGGTAATGACAATTTTTTTGATCAATTGATTAATAATCGGATAGTGAAAGATTCCTTAATGAAGACTTTTTATTAAATTAAACCAGGTGAAACAACAACTTTTCCACTCAAGGAGTTCTGGATAGAACATCCATCCATCCATCTATCCACCTATCTATCTATCTATCTATCTATCTATCTATCTATCTATCTATCTATCTATCTATCTATCTATCTATCTATCTATCTATCTAGCTATCCATCTATCCATCCATCCATCCATCCATCCATCCATCCATCCATCCATCCATCCATCCATCCATCCATCCATCCATCCATCCATCCATCCATTATCTTACACGCTAAAAGAACATATATACAGACAAAAAGTTTTTTTTATCTTAAATGCAAAATGTTTACTTTTTTTTAAATACAATTTTGGTATAATTATTGCTCTAAGTGGGTAACTGTCAGCTAATCTAGACTTAGACTTATTTGTCATTTTGTTTACACAAGTGTAAAACAAAAAGAGATTTCGTTTGGAACAGTTCTCTGGACAATTTCATCTTTTCGAAAAGTGCAGCCTTAAAAACAGTAAAAAATATATATAAAATATATAAAATCAATCATCACATAAATCCGGTTAATTGTTTCGGCCCTAATCAGGACCACAAACAATTCCTCCAAAATACACTGAGGCATTTCTTATGCTTTATAGTTTACACTAATTCAACAATTTCTTCTTCTTCTTTTTTTGTGTGGAAATAAAATATATATTTTAGAAAATTCTGGTTCTTGATAAGTGAGAATAGGAACTTTATATTGATCATAGATAACTTGCTGGTTTCATGGGTATAATTTTGATGTGACACAGAGGCCTATTTTACTCAGAAGTTCTTCAAAATAAGAAAGACAAGCAAACATGACATTAAAGAAAAGGAGACATGGCTCCAAGGAAACTCCGCCTCAACTAAACTCACTCATATCGAGAGTCGGAGCAACAAACCAAAGATTTAAACACAACTGGAACTGAGATTAACGAGGCTGGAGGACAAGCCAAGTTTAGCTAAGCTAACACTGAGCAGGGACGTAAAGGAAACTAACACACACTTCCAGAAGTTACTGCTGCAATGACTGGGATCTAGAGGAAGTCTCCATGACAAACGTTAGAAAATATCAACAGGCTAAAGGGCTGTTTAGGAAGCAAGCAAGGAAAAAGCCTTCTCCTTCCTACAATCACAAATGGAAACTTTCAGATTCCACTAAAGACAAGTGAGAAATATGTGGAGAAGTAATTCATGTTCAAGAGTATATTTTTAGTTCTCTTCTTGAAAAGCTATATAGCTAATAATAACAATTTAGATTAGCCACTGAAATGTTTCATGGAAAATATGTTTATTTCTATCTTTCTTTGGTGCAGAACGTTGTGACAAACCTCAGCTTTGCTGTGAATCTGTCAGCATAAAGAATCGCAGCGTTCGAGCCAGAAATAAGGAGAATAGGTAGACATGAAGGTGCTTCATGAAGCTTGATATATATTCATTCATTTAGTTGTGAGTTGTGTTTGGGGCAACTATAAAATCATTAGATGGTTTTGTAGCACAATTTCTTCTGTTGATAAGTATTTTTTGTTCCACTATGTTTAATAAATAAAAATCTAGTCAGTAGTAAATCTTAGTCAGTCAGTAAATTGCAGAATAATGACCCAAAACAAGCATCACAGACAACCTGCTAAAAAACATCTACATGTTTGAGTTACTATCTCTGTACTCAGGATTTGATCCAATAAACTCTTCAGAATCTGAAGAATCTTTCATTTTGGTGCCATTAATTAGTCATATAACATTTGATGATATAATATTTGATATAAAAGTGGATAAGTCTGATTATTTACCTTAAGGTAAAACTGTTAAAATAGAGGAGTACCAATAAGCTTCATTAAGATGTATCTGAGTTTGTTATCAGGCTTAAAGAAAGAAGATCGTTATTTGGAGGAAATAAATATTGACAGCCAGGAGGAAGGCAAAAACAAGAAGATGAGTCAACCCTGAACCACAATCTCTAATACTGAGGATGGATGTTTACAGGAAGTTTGATCGATGAAAAGACAGACCTTCACCCTAAATTTAAAGTAAATGAGACACAAGCATGACCTATAAAATGTCAGGTATAGCTGATGATTAAATTGCTTTTGCATATGTAAGAATTTGGCAGCATTAGTATAACTCTATCACTAGTTTATAAGGTTTTCTTGTGTATGTCTTTCATTTGCTTTTTTTCCTTTTATTTTACTGATTAAAAAAAAAAGACAAAAGGGAAAAAAGAAAAAAAATTATCTTAAGATTTTCTACCAATCTTAACCAGCAGCTCTAATAACTGTTCTTCCTAACGTGAGCCTTCCCTATGTGGGTACAGCGTGAACCCAGACCTGCTCTGAGTCTTTGCGGTTGGAGTTGTGCTCATCAGGTAGAGCCAGCTGAGGGTAGAGTCCTCGGCAGAGCAGCAGCTTCAGCAAACCTTGGTGCCGCGACGACAAGTCCTGGCTGTTGTTGACGGCCTCCTGGAGCTCCGAGACGTTGTGACGTAATTTAAACTTCACTTCCTGTTTTCCAACAAACAACAAAATTCGTATTTTGTTAACAAAGACACTATTAACCTGCGCTTCTCTGGTACCATGAGATTAAACTGGTACAATAATCTATCTGAGCTGAATGTGTCTGAGAAATGAAAAGCTTTGGCACTTCTGTGACTTTTTCCAGAACATTTTCGAGCTTTCAGGATATTTTTAAACCCTGCTTTTATTTTTAAAAACTTGCGGAGCTACTTTGAACATCAGCTGTCAGTTTCCCCTTCGAGTTATTTTATTTAAGTAGCAACTGTCTTTTCATTCAATCAGACACAATATCCAGACTTTAATGTCATTTACCGTATTTTCACGACTATAAGGCGCACATAAACTTCTTTTTTTCCCCTCAAAATGTGCGGTGCGCCCTTTGGTGCGGTGCGCCCTATGTGTGTTGCAACTGCGACTTTTGAGACAACCTCATTGAGGAGATGATGAAAGAGTGGCTGAGGGAGGTGAATGTAAGGAGACCAGGTGTTTTTTTTCCCACTCATCACCACACCATCGCTGTTAATCTGACTCCATGCGTGCCCATCTCACAGCTGATGTGAAAAACATGGTGAAAAAAAATAAACGCTGTGCTCGCCGTTATCCCGGGGGGTCTGACAAAGGAACTTCCACCGCTCGACATCTGTGTGAACCGGCCGTTCAAAGTAAGGCTGCGAGCGGCGTGGGAGCGATGGATGACAGACCACAGTTTCAGGATAAGTGGAAGGCAGCGCCGGGCAAGTTACGCCACTGTTTGCGGATGGATTGTAGATGCTTGGACAAACGTGTCTGCTGGCACTGTTGTTCAAGCTTTCGCAAAAGCCGGCATTATTTCTGAGGAGCCGCGCTGCACGGAAAGTGACTCTGACAGCGAAGAAGGGGAAATTGGCATTTCTGATTTAGTGCAGCTGTTTAATTCAGAAACAGAGGATGATGACTTTGATGGGTTTGATTAATCCTTTGTAATAAATACATGAATAAAGCACAATCATACTCAGTTTTGCTCCCGCTCTATTTTTCTACCTGAAAACTTAATTCAACAGCAGCCTCTGGGCGTGTCTCCTCCTCTTCACCGCGGTGGCTGGCAGGTGTTTTTTCATCTAAATAATCTAAATCTTGCAGCTATATTTGCTGTGATCAGTGGGAATAAAGTAGTTTTAATATGTTTTTAAGTGAGAAAGTCCACCTGAAAACTTAATAATTGCAGTCAGTTCATCCAGATTATTATCCTGCCTATACTATTTCTATTGGAGGCGCTCAGACCCCGACATACCAGCAATGCACCGACAGTAGAAATCCCTTCATCAGCAGCCTCTAGGCCGGGCAGCCTCCGGATTCACGCGGTGGCTGGCAGGTGTTTTTCATCTAAATAATTTAAACTGCAGGCACCAGGATACCGGTAATAAAAGCGAACATATTCTGTCGGCAGGTTTCAGGATTTTAAGTTAATTTAGGAGTGATCACAGCTCTGTCATCTGCGATGTGTCTGTCTCATGGCCAGCTCCCAGGTTTGATTAATACTTTGTAATAAATACATGAATAAAGCACAATCATACTCAGTTTTGCCCCCGCTGTATTTTTAAATACGCAGTAGAGGTATTTAAAGGTAGTAGAGGACATGTACCTGTATATAAAAAACGCGCCCTATAGTCCGGTGCGCCTTATGTGTGTGTTAAATACAGAAATGAGACACATAACTGAGACTGCGCCTTTTAGTACGGTGCGCCTTATGGTCGTGAAAATACGGTAAAACCCTTTTAAATCAGAAAATTAAAGAATTTCTTTGGTCTAAATAATAAAGTATTTAAACATCACAACCCTGATTTCTATATAAACTAAGGGGGAGTGCTGCTTCATATCTGTATTGTTCTTTGAGCTCACCTGGATGTCCACATCCTGTTCTTTTCCCTCCTTGCCCTTCCTGCCTCTGCCTCTGCCCTCTGTGTCTGATCCTGAGGAGATCTCTCCATCCTGGCCCTCCTCCAGCCTTAGGACCTTACGTTTAGTCCCCTCCTGCTGCTCATGGTGTCTTTTCAACTGATGCAGCTTCTTCCTCTCTGTGAACCTCTCCCTGCGCTGCTCACGGTCGCCACCAGAGGGAGCCTTGTCCTCTGACTCAATGAGGCCGTGGCTCCTCAGCAATTCCTGTAAGCCAACCAGGAACTCTTATTATTAAAAAAGTAACTTAACAAATGAAAGTGATGATGAGGAGAAGCTTGCCTTGAACTGTCTGCGTAGGTTGACCATCTCATAAAGTCTCTGCTCCTCCAGGCCTCTCCTCCTGCACCACTTCCTGGACCCGCCTCCTCTCTCTCCTTTCACCTGTTGAGTTCATAACTCAGTCAGCACTCGTCACAAAATGATTTCATGTTAAGAAAACAGAAACATGTGACGTCACAAGCTACTGACTTCCACCCAGGCGTTGAAGGTGTTAAGCAGAGTGAAAGGGTCTCCCTGGTTGCTGTGCAGGGGCTGGCGGGCAGTGTTGCAGTCCGGGTTTTGCTGCGAGCTGCGCAGGAATGGTGACTGAACGCTGAGGGCTGCTGCAACGGTCAGAACCGGCTCCACCAGGTTGAACAGGGAGCCCAGCACCAACATCTTTCCTGCAGGATGGAAGTTTAGTCTTTATAAGTGTAAAGCAATAACCTTCTGCTCTTTAGGTGGACACAGATAACTCGCACAGTGTGGGGACCTATAAGAGATTTTATATGGTACCCATTGATGGGTTACATACATTAAAAAAACATTTGAAAAGCATTGTTTTAACTGTTATCTTTAGTTAAAACTATGTTCCACAATTTACATACAAATTACAGTAAATACAAACAAGGAAAAACTGAAAGGCTATTTAAATATTACCACCACAAAAATAAAAAAGGTTATAAGAACAATAGTGATCAATAATAAATATAACAATATCAAATTACAAATAACCACATAAAAATATATCTATAAGCTAAATTTAAACTATGCAAAAACTATATTTTAAAGTATAAAGGGCGTATAAATTGTAGTTAGATGGTAAACTACAAAAAACGAATGCAATTTAGTGGCCTCTAGAGGCGTCTTTTATTATTGCACCCACTCTCTACCTCATCTTTCCTCTTTACAGCTGTGCTTTCCTCGATTTTTTAAATAATTTTTTCTAATTTCATCATCTAAAAACTACGGAAGAGGATTAGGGCCACTGGAAAAAAAAAAAAAAGTTTTTTTTTTTTTTTTTCAGTATAGTATGGGAAAAAAGTCAGAATTCTGACTTTAATGTCAGAATTCTGACTTTTTTCTCAGAATTCTTACTTTAATCCCAGAATTCTGACTTTTTTCTCAGAATTCTGACTTTAATCTCAGAATTCTGACTTTTTTCTTAGAATTCTGAGATTAAAGTCAGAATTCTGAGTTTTTTCTCAGAATTCTGACTTTTTTATTGTCAGAATTCAGTCAGAATTCTAAGATTAAAGTCAGAATTCTGAGAAAAAAGTCAGAATTCTGAGATGAAAGTCAGAATTCTGAGAAAAAAGTCAAAATTCTGACTTTAATCTCAGACTTCTGAGAAAAAAGTCAGAATTCTGAGTTTAATCTCAGAATGCTGACTTTTTTCCTATGTTAAACTGAAATAAAATTTAAAAATCAGTTTACTTTTTTTTTTTTTTCAGTGGCCCTAATCCTCTTCCGTACCCTCTGGAGGCATACCGTATAATTGACAAAATGGGTCTGCCAGCTCTGAGGTGAAGATATTCATATTTCTAGCTGCACAATGCGGAATTAAAGGCTCCCCAGATACTGATGCATAAGCTTTTGTCCCCAAAATATGACTGAGAAAGCCAAAGAACAAAGGGTTATTTTGTTTTTATTGAGCCAAGTCAGGGTTGATTTAAAAAGTTTTTGATTATTATCCTGTATCAACATAAAATGATGGCTGATTTAAAGATTTTCTAATGAAAGTGCACCCAGCCCATTTGACAGAAAAGCTAAATATTGCTGGATACTATCTTTAATCATTGTAATGTGGTGAATAAAAAAAATACATGTTGGTTTTTAGAAGGCTTTGGGAGACTTTTGTTAGTTAAAAAATGGACAAAATTATGAAAATTAAAAAACTCAAACACTTTTTCATGCATACATTTTTGCTTCCAATATTAATTAATACCTGGAAATTAATAACATGAAAATCAAGACTTTACTCTTGCCATCATTGTGGGGTTGCTGCTAAACAACAGATTGTTCTTAAGATCACGACTACAAATATTAGAAACTAGGTAATTAACCCAATGTCAGAGATTTAAGCCAAACTGGAAAAAACATTTAAGGGAGTGGATGTTTAAAGGGCAAAAAGAAGTCTTTATGTAACGAACATACAGACATTAAAAATCGACAGTCTAGTGAGGACAGTCTCACCTATAACAACATCGACAGGCAGCTGAGCCAACAGTCTACCAATAGATGTTAGTTCACCATGACTGTCTAGTGCCCCCTGCTCCTTCAGGTATGTAACTGCAGTCTGGATACTGGCAGTTGGTGGAGGATCGATGAAGACAAAAGAAAGAGGATCCCCAAGATCCATACTCTTCATCTGCAGGGACAAGAACGCATAAATGAAGCGCTTGTTTCTATAGCCAGAGATTCAATCTGTGTGCATCAGGATGCTCCTACCTGCAGAACCAAGGAGTCCAGAGCCACTCTGTGGATTTCAGGCACAGGATACGGAGCAAAGGCATTGTAGTCGGACTCTGAATAGAGACGGTAACAAACACCAGGACCTGTACGGCCAGCTCTACCTTTCCTCTGCTCAGAGCTGGCTCGGCTGATCCAGAACTCCTGCAGACGCTGCATCTTGGCCTTCGGGTCAAAGCTCATTTCCTTCACCTTTCCTAAAAATCAGAAAACCTGAAGTGAAGATACTCAAAGCCTTTGAAAACTCAAACCCAGGACAGATCTGTACCTGAGTCCACAACAAACCGGACCCCGTCTATTGTAACTGAGGTCTCTGCAATGTTGGTAGAGATGATGCACTTTCTGACGCCAGGAGGAGCAACGTCAAACACCTGAAAAATGTGATCATAATTTTAGTTAGAGCTAATAAATGATCTCTTTATCACAGATCTAGTCTATGCTGACCAGACCTTGTCCTGTTGAGCGAGAGAGAGGGTGCTGTGCAGTGGTAAGACTATCCAGCGCCTGGTGTGCGTGGCGTAAACCTGACAGGCCTCCTGGATGGTGGAAATCTCTGCCACGCCGCTGAGGAAGAGGAGCAGGTCCCCACGCTCCTCTGGAGGGTAACGCTGGTCGATGCCCTGAAGGATGCGCAGGTACGGTCTGGGATCCAGTTTCTCTGAACGCGATGGCTGCTCCTCAGGGGGAATGGGCTGGTAAATCACCTGGAAACAGAACAAGAGAAAGAAAAGCCGACTCTGAAGAGAACAGCTCAAAAAGGAGCGCCTGCCATTACTGCTGTGTGATTCTTACCTGAATAGGAAACAGTCTCCCTGGTACCTGCAGCACAGGAGCGCTGTGGAAGTATTCAGAGAAGAGCTTGATGTTGATGGTGGCTGACATGAGGATGAGACGGAGGCCTGGGCGGTCAGCAAGCAGAGAGCGTAGGACCCCAAGGAGGAAGTCACAGTGGAGGTGTCGCTCATGAACCTCATCCACGATCACCACCTGGTACTGATCCAGAGTCTTATCCTGCTGGATCTGTCGCAGCAGCAGACCTTCGGTCAGGAAGAGCAGCTTGGTGGCCGCAGTCCGAGAAGTCTCAAAGCGGATCTGATAACCAACCTGAAAACAAAGAGGTATTAAAATGGAGATCATCTAAGAACAAAGTCATTTCCTCCTGTTTCTGCGAGAAACGTTTTCTTGAACAATTCTGCTGGTTACAGATTATTGAATACTTTGCAATGACAAAATGCAGAACCTTCTAAAATGATTTTAGTATAATTTCTTTGGATATTGCCTGATAGATTAAGGATTAATGGCTTTTACGGTTTTTATTTCACAAAAAGTTTTTAAAACATTTGGTTCCAGCTCATGTATAATTTATATTAAATCCAGCAAATCCCTTTACTAAGTCCAGTAGTAAGAGTTAATTTCTGTGCGATTTAATCTCAGTATAACTCCAGCTTTTCAGTGAAGGCTTAAAAGATGAACAAACGTCCTTAGGAATTAAGGAGCATATTAGGCAGATAAAGAAGAAAGTTGCAGAGAAGCTTAAAAAACGGTGAGATTATGAAACAAAATCCAAATCTTCAGTCAACTCACTGAATTCTATTAAATTAATTATCTTAATGGACAGAATGACACACCTCAGTACCTATGAGGACTTGGCTGTTAACTTATCCTGACAAGGCAGCCAAGGAGAGCATTGATCAAAGTAGCAGCCAAGAGCCTGATGGTAGTTTATCCAAAGTTTGATTTGCTACTGATTAATCAGAAGAGTATGAATATTTGAATGAAATTCACTTTAAAATGTGATATTCCTTCGATTATTGGCTGTAATGCTGGTCTTATTTCAACATTTTAAATCTACTCCTGTGGTCTATTAAGCTGTAAATGAAGCAAGCCTAATAAAAGCAGCAAAAGACTTGAGATTGGGAAGGAAAACAGCCATCTACTTACAGACTGACCAACAGAATAGTTTAAATCATATTCATCTGATACTTGTTTTACAATCTGACAGACACTTATGCACTCTTAAAATCTAGGGTGAGTATTCCAACAGTCCTGATATTTATAGAAGCATACATCAGTGATTTGTTAGTTTTACTTTAAATGCTGTTTTAAGTTCTGTATTTCCAAATGGTCTAACCTTTGATCCATACTGATTGAGGCTCTCAAAGCTGACTCTCTTTGCGAGGGAAATGCATGCGATCCGCCTGGGCTGGGTGCAGGCGATTTGGCTAAAGCCAGCCGAGAGCAAATATTGTGGCACCTGTGTGGATTTCCCACAGCCCGTGTCCCCCGCCACCACTACCACTGGGTGAAGCCGAACCAGATCCACAATCCGATCTCGGTACTGAAAGATAGGCAGGTTCTTTTGGTCCCTGCGAAGCTTGGCCAGTTTCCCAAAGCTCTGCTTCTGGCTGAAGTCCAGGAAATGCAACAGAGCCAATCGGCAGTCTGTGATCTCCTGTGGACCTGGACCTGAGGATCTCTGCCTGCCTCTGGGATCCGTTTTTCCCATTCGCTTTTCAATGTCCGCTGAACACAGAGATAGATTGATCCGGTACCGAGGGTCGTACTCTGTTGGAAGTCCCAAATTCACCTTTTCGGTGCCAGATTTTTTCTTTTCTTTAACTTCGTCTCTGGTTCCAGAACCAGACATTTCCCTCTTAGCTTTAAACCGCTGGAAACGATCAAAGAAATTCCAGAATTCCTTGTGTTCGGAGGATCCGGTCTGGATGTAGTCCTGTTCACGGAAAAATATCTGATCCATCTGTGCTCTGCAGTGCGGGTTATTCCAGTCCCAGCTCCGACCCTCTCTTCCTCTACCCCCGTCCATGTTTGCTGTAGATTATCCACACCGAACCAAAGCAGACTGGCCTTAAGACGCAGATAATTAACAACACGCCTGAAAACACAGTTATCTCTACATCACAACCAATCGCTTTCGATGAGAAACAGATTTAAAGTATCAAATTTGTATCACCTCAAAACAAGACAATACGTACCCCCTAACCTCACAATATACTGCTGCATATGATCGTGCTGTGAATTGAAAATATTTACTCCAAAAGAAGAAATAACTGACAAAAATCCCCAAACAAATAAACCTCTAAAATACAGAGCGACTACAGGGAACAATAATACGGTAGGACCACTTCCGGTCCGTCTCTTAAAACGATCCGTCTGGAACTAGTAACTGAAATTACGGCAATAGATAAAATAAAAAAAAAAATTAAAAAAAGCGAGGCATTTCCTACGCAAGAGGATTAGGGCTACTGAAAAAAAAAAGTTAACGGATTTTTGAATATGATTTCAGTGGGAAAAAAGTCAGAATTCTGAATTTTGATCTCAAAATTATGGATTTTTCGCTCAGAATTATGACTTTTTTTGTTTTTGTTTTTTCTTGTTAGCATCAATCAAGCCGTAGCCTTGTCTTTTTTAGAGACCAAACGAGCTCTCTTGTTTTAATCACCTACTGCCCTTCCATTAATAAAACTCACAAATGTCCGTCATTTTCCACCAATGTGTTACTGTTCCTACCAAACAACTCACATCTTTGTCAGTGAAGCTGTATGCTCCCACATCTCCTTCTTCATGGTGCCCTTTAAGATTAAGATCCAAAATTCCGAGATTAAAATCAGAATTCTGAGAAAAAAGTCCTAAACATGTCAGAAAAAGGCAATGGAAGGCAAGGCAAGTTTATTTATATTGCACAATTTAGAACAGAGACAAAAGTTTTTAAATTAATTTAATAGTAAAATACCCGCCAAATGCTTCATGTTTGGTTCTAGTTCTGGGTATACAGAGTATGTTCATGTTTATGCATTTAGCAGACACTTTTATCGAAGGTGACTTACAAAGTAGACACAATTTTACATTTATTATCACAACGCTGAAGCCCTGGTCAGTTCATTTTCATGTTCATGAAAGTTATTGCTGGAGAAGCTTTTCAAAGTCGTCTGTGGTGAAAGATGGCATCTTGCACTGACATGGACTGGTGCTTTCTTGGATGTGATTAAAATAACATTAAAAAAAAGCATTCCAGCAAGAGAATCCTTGAAAGGTTTAGATTTGTCTATCTTTCTTTAGGTTTGGCTAAGGGATAAAAAGTTAAAAGTAAGAAAGATATACAGTCATGGCCAAAAGTATTAAGAATGACACAAATATATTTTCACATGAACTGCTGCCCTCTGGTTTTCATGTGTGTATGTCAGGTGGAGTCATCACATACAGAAATACAATTGCAATCATATTACCGGTATGAGTAACCAAAGCTTTTAATGACAGTTAGAATGAGTTAATGCAGCAAGTCAATATTTGCAGTTTTGACCCATTTTCTTCAGGACCTCTGCAATTCTCCCTGGCATGCTTTCAATCAACTTCTGGACCAAATCCTGACCGATAGCAGTCCATTCTTGCACAATCAATGATTGCATTTTGTCAGAATTCCTAGGTTTTCGTTTGTCCACCTGTCTCTAGATGATTGACCACAAGTTTTTATTGGGATTAAGATCAGCAGATTTTCCAGGCCATGGACCCAAAATCTCTATGTTGTGTTCCCTGTGCCAGTTAGATATCACCTTTGCTTTATGGCAAGGTGCTCCATCATGCTGGAAAAGGCATTGTTCATCATCAAACTGCTCTTGGATGGTTGGGAAAAGTTGCTCTCGGAGGACATTCTGGTACCATTCTTTATTCATGGCTGGGTTTTTAGCTAAGACTGTGAGAGAGCCGACTCCCTTGGCTGAGAAGCAACCCATCACACGAATGGTTTCAGGATGCTTTACAGTTGGCATGAACCCAGACTGGTGGTAACGCTCACCTCGTCTTTTCCGAACAAGCTGTTTTCCAGATGTCCCAAACAATCGGAAAGGGGATTCATCAGAGAAAATAACATTACCCCAGTCCTCAGCAGTCCACTCCCTGTACCTTTTTCAGAATATCAGTCTATCCCTGATGTTTTTCCTGGAGAGAAGTGGCTTCTTTGCTGCGGTCCTTGAGACAAGGCCTTGCTCCAAGAGTCTCCTCCTCACAGTGCGTGCAGAGGCACTCACACCTGCCTGCTACCATTCCTGAGCAAGCTCTGCACTGCTTGTAGCCCAATCCCGCAGCTGAAACACTTTTAAGAGACCGTTATGGCGCTTGCTGGTCTTTCTTGGGCGCCCTGGAGCCTTTTTGGCAACAATGGAAACTCATGTATAAGTGAACAAAATTTAGGATTTTTCAAGGAATTTCATAGAATTAAATAATTCATACATACAAAGTAATATTTAATGAGCTTTAGGTATTTTAGCTTCATATACAAAATTCATCAAGACTGCTCTCATGTCAATTTGTGTAACAGCTAAACACCTAAAAACTGTTTCATGTATTGTTTAATGTTTATCTCTCTATCAAATAATAAAAAAACCCACAAAATTAAAGCACATGTTTATATTTAAAAAGGTTAACCTAAAAAAAAATCTAATCACAGTAAGTTTTATAGGCATGTCCACAACCATCCTGGATGACTGGCAGAAAGTAGTGCTCAAAGCACTGAATGTTCCCTTCGCGCATGCGCAGTTCGAGTAATTATACCAACAGCTGTGACACCCTGGTTGACCACTCAGAAGCTATATATACTGAAGTCACAAGGAATCCTGAGCACATATCTCACTGAGAGAGCCCAGCTGAACCTCGTAAAAAAAGAAGGACCTGTACCAGGGGATGAGGGGAATCCATGTTGATGTTCTCAAACCAGGCGAATGTCGGGAAGCCCATGATGCTACAGCATATGTCCTCCAACGAAACCCCCCTCATAGCAGTCCAAGAAGCAGTGAAGCTCCTGCTAGAGTAGGTCTTCACACCCTCCAGCAGCTGGCAGCACCCTGCTCTGTAGGCGTGGTAGATGACATCCACAATCCAGTTGGAGAGATTTTATAAAGTGGACAGCCCCTCTTGGACCTCCATAGCACACAAAAAGCTGGTCTTACAGTTGTAATGGCAGTGATATATTTCTCCAGTGCTAGCACAATAACTCAGTCGTAGCAGACTGTGTGTTGAAAGCGTTCCAGTGGCTGGTTACAGTTTGAATGGTGCAGCACCTTGGGGACATATCTGTGAAGATTCCTGGTCATCCAGGTCGTCGCCAAGCCTGAAAGGTAGCTTCAAGTTGCCTAAACTGAACTCTTCAAGCGCAACACCTTGAGGACAAATGCAGTGTTGGGCCACAAGGAAACACCAGAACCATTTGGATATCTTTGGGGACATGAGGGACTCACAGGGCATGTAGCTCGCCAACCCTTGAGGTTACACTTGAGGTCTGCTTGCACCAAGGGCACGAAAGGGTAACAGTATAAAGCATCTGGAACCAAATGCAGATCCCCATTAAGCCCTCGAGAAGTGAGCACTGCGGAGAGCACAACCTATAAGCACAGTGCAGAAAAACAGACCAGACCATGGCCGGCCATGGACATTCATCAACAGATGCATGATGACAGCAGCAGGTTTTGCCCCTCCTGGAGAACCCTCTGTAAAGTGGACCAAATCAGCGAGGGAAAAGTGTACAGGAGAACCCGAGACCAGGAATGAGCTAGGGCATTCTGGCCCAATGCACCCTACGCCCCTGTCAGGGAATTCCGCAGAGGGCAAAGAGTTGACTCATCTGTAGCAAACAGATCCACCTCTGCTCGAAAAAGTGGCCCCAAATCATCTGCACCACATTTCATTCGAATTTCTGCCATGTACAAAAAAGGATTTCATCAAGGAATCCAGGAGAATGCAAGGTGGCAATTTGATCTGCATCTGAATTGGAACCTGATTAAGAAACAAATGCATTCCAGTTACCGTTTGCTCTTATATTAGTCGATAGAATGGATATTTTTTTGAATAGTTGTTGAAACATTCTCGTATTTTACATAAGCCTGGAAAAACAAGAGGACATCTGACAAACTGGCCCATAACTGTGCCACAATAATTATAAAAAGTAAAGAGTGCTTACCACAGTTCAATTCATCTGTGTTGTCTCCACAGTCATTTACACCATCACATTTCCAGAACTTGGGCTTACAGAGCCCATTTTTACAGGTTATCTTGTCGGAGCTGCATTCTTGAGAGGAAGAGGTTGAAAAAATTTTTACATTAAACTGACTTCTTAATAAAACCAGAGCTAAAACAAGTAATCAGTAAATAACGTACTGCATTTTTCCTCGTCACTATTGTCTCCGCAGTCATTCCAGCCGTCACATGTTAAGTTACGATCGATGCACCACTGATTTTTGCAAAGGAACTTATTTGGGCAAGCTGTGGATGATGCAGAATGCATGAAAAATAGAAGGAAGCTCTGGAAAAAAACATTAAATGTAAACATAGCTCTGCCACTTACGATCTTTGATGTCAATGGCCTCATATTCTGCTAAAAAGCCTCGGTCCACGTAGGAGTAATCAGAATGAAAAGACACCTTTATTTTGTTGGTTTTGCTGGCTTCTACCAGTGTCCCTTTGAGGTTCTCTCCACACAGTCTGAAAAAAATATTTTCAGAGAAGTGACAAACCTGTTTGCCTTTAAAAACAAACAATACATTTTCAGCCCAGTTTAAAATCCCGGACTAATCTTTGGTGAACTTACCTCTTTCCGTCATCGATCATGACGTAATCTTTGTTACAATTTTTGCCATCCTCCTGGCCAGGCTCTGCCAAGAGCAACTTTTTGAATGTTACTTTCACTGCCTTATCCTTAGGGACCTGAAATAAGAAGGATAGTGAGACAAAATCTTACAGACATGGAAGCATGCCTACATACGAGCACAATAAATCAGTTGGAAATATCAACAGGAAATATACATGAAAAACCATCCCCGACAATTATTAGTATTTTTATACAGTGAGGAAGATAAATATTTCAACACCCTGCTCTTTAGCATGTTCTCCCACTGAAATTGTCATCGCAGGTGCACGTCCACTGTGAGAGACATAATCTAAAAAAAAAAATTCAGAAATCACAAAATATGATTTTTTTTAACTGTTTATTTTTATGATACAGCTCCAGATAAGTATTTGAATACCTGAGAAAATCTATGTTAATATTTGGTCCAGTAGTTTTTGTTTGCAATTCCAAAGGTCAAACGTTTCCTGTAGTTTTTCACCAGGTTTGCACACATTGCAGGAGGGATTTTGGCCCACTCCTCCACACAGATCTTCTCTAGATCAGTCAGGTTTCTGGAATGCTGCTAAAAAACACGGAGTTTGAGCTCCCTCCAAAGAATCTCTATTGGGTTTAGGTCTGGAGACTGACAAGGCCGCGCCAGAACCCTGATATGTTTTTTCAGAGCCACTCCTTGGTTATCCTGGCTGTGACTTTCGGGTCATTGTTGTCTTGGAAGACCCAGCCTCAACCCCTCTTCAGCACTTTGAGGGAAGGAGATTGTTCCCCAAAATTAATTCATGGCCCGGTCATCCTCTCCTTAATACAGTGCAGTCGCCCTTTCCTATGTGTTGAAAATCATCCCCAAAGAATGATGGTACCACCCCCATGCTTCACAGTAGGGATGGTGTTATTGGGATGGTACTCAGCATTCTTCTTCTTTCAAACAACTTTAGTGGAATAATGTCCAAAAAGTTATATTTTGGTCTCATCTGACCACATGACTTTCTCCCATGACTCATCTGGATCATTCAAATGGTCATTGGCAACCTTAAATGGTAAATGGTCTCTACTTATATTATCTTTTTTTCCCCTCAAAATGTGCGGTGCGCCCTTTGGTGCGGTGCGCCCTATGTGTGTTGTAACTGCGGACTTTTGAGACCATCTCATTGAGGAGATGATGAAAGAGTGGCTGAGGGAGGTGAATGTAAGGAGACCAGGTGGTTTTTTCCCACTCATCACTATTGCTGTTATTCTGTGACTCCGTGCGTGCCCATCTCATAGCTGATGTGAAAAACATGGTGAAACAAATTAACACTGTGCTTGCTGTTATTCAACTGCTCAACATCGGTGTGAACCGGACGCAGCAGACGCAGCAGAAGCAGCGAGTTTACTTGCAAAGTCAATGGTTGACGCACGTATAGGCGCGGCAAAAGGTCCCCCAGGGCGTTTTGAGCAGCAGACGCAGTGCGTCGGGAGCGTTTAAGCATCTGACGCGCCGCCAACGCGCTGCTGCTGCTCTAGATGGAAAAATGGAAGTTTCGCTGCTGGACGCGCCGCATCAACCAATCAGAGAAGCTGATCTGGGAGCTGACAGCGAGACAGACACATCGCTCTGATGACATATGATATTAAAGCAAATGAAAGGGCTGGATGGATGAGGAGATGATGAAAGCGTGGCTGAGGCAGGTGTATGTAAGGAGACCAGGTGTTTTTTTCCACGCATCACCATCGCTCTGTGACTCCATGCATGCCCATCTCACAGCCGGAGACCACAGTTTCACGAAAAGTGGAAGGCAGCGCCGGGCAATTAACGCCACCGTTTAAGGATGGATTGTAGATGCTTGGACTAACGTGTCTGCTGGCACTGTTGTTCAAGCTTTCGCAAAAGCAGGCATTATTTCTGAGGAGCCGCCCGGCACGGAAAGTGACTCTGACAGCGAAGAAGGGGAAATTGGCATGTCTGATTTGGCGCAGCTGTTTAATTCAGAAACAGAGGATGATGACTTTGATGGGTTCGATTAATACTTTGTAATAAATACATGAATAAAGCACAATCATACTCAGTTTTGCTCCCGCTCTATTTTTCTACCTGAAAACTTAATCCAACAGCAGCCTCTGGGCCGGGTCGCCTCCGGTTTCACCGCAGCGGCTGGCAGGTGTTTTTTCATCTAAATAATCTAAATCTTGCAGCTATATTTGCTGTGATCAGTGGGAATAAAGTAGTTTTAATATGTTTTTAAGTGAGAAAGTCCACCTGAAAACGTAATCATTGCAGTCAGTTCATCCTGCCTATACTATTTCTGTCAGAGCCGCTCAGACCCCCTCATACCAGCGGTGCGCCGACAGTAGGAATCCCTTCAACAGCAGCCTCTAGGCCGGGTCTCCTCCGGGTTTAGCAGCGGCTGGCAGGTGTTTTTCATCTAAATAATTTAAACTGCAGGCACCAGGATACCGGTAATAAAAGCGAACATATTCTGTCGGCAGGTTTCAGGATTTTAAGTTAATTTAGGAATGATCACAGCGCTCTGTCATCTGCGATGTGTCTGTCTCATGGCCAGCTCCCAGGTTTGATTAATACTTTGTAATAAATACATGAATAAAGCACAGTCATACTCAGTTTTGCTCCCGCTGTATTTTTTAAATACCCAGTAGAGCTATTTAAAGGTAGTAGAGGACATGTACCTGTATATAAAAAACGTGCCTTATAGTCCGGTGCGCCTTATGTGTGTGTTAAATACAGAAATGGCACACATAACTGAGACTGCGCCTTTTAGTACGGTGCGCCTTATGGTCATGAAAATACGGTATATATATATATATATATATATATATATATATATATATACATATATATATATACATATATAAATAAATAAACAAAAAGCTTCAACTCTTACTTATAGTTCCTGGTGGTATTTGAGAAACTTTTGCTAGAAATCCTATAGAATCGAGGTCGTCATTTGTTCCCATTGTAACCAGCATGACATTTCCAGAAGAATAAAAAGTGAGCGGTGCAGTGCGTGAATAGTGTCCACACAACCTGTAGAAAACAGATTCATAAGAGGTAAGTTTTCAGTACATACTCATTAGTTTTTTCCTCACAACATTGATTTTAATTCACACAGATTTTAGTTTTTGTATTACTGATTAAATTTGGCAAATAACAATATACTGCTTAAATTTTTGTCCAAATTTACTAAATCATTTGCTTTAATGTGGGAGCTTGGGAAGCTGACACATCTAACATGTCACCAGCAGCGGTTTTATCATCCACTTCTGAGAATCCCTGCCGTTTTCTAGGTAAGTAAGGAATTCAATTCAGGGAATAAAGCACATTCCATCACACTTAGCATAATAAATAATTTTAACGGCTGTACATTACATTACAATACTGTACTACTGGCAATTGTCAAACTTTAGGAAAGTCACCATAATATGAAAGCAAACACCAAGAGAACCCAAGGTAGAACCCTGAGGTACTTAATTTTAATTATTACATCATATTATTTGTGTGTTTTTGTTTAAATAATATTGCAGACAAAATCAAAGAAGAAATATACTGACTCTTCCAAGGCACGGGACTCTATGGGCACCAGAGAGTCATAGATTTTCACAAAGTCATGTTTGCAGTTCTCCTCCAGATTCATGGTGTCAAACTCAAGCTTGATGATGTTATCACGGTCTACTCGCAGCTCCCACTGGATGAACGTGTTGGGCGTATACGGAGTGTCGGGGAAACCAGGGGACTTGATCCAACTAACCACATTGGGCTTTGTATGTTCTGAATACCTTAAATTTTCTGACACACACAGATAAAATTAAATACAATACATTTTTCTTGTTAAGTCAGTCATAAATAACTGCCAACAAAATGATATTCTATTTTCTAATTCTGAGCATGATTCATGATTAATTAAAAACTGCCAAGAAAATTATAGTATATTTTCTAATTCTGATCACAATCTTCTATGGTACACCAAACACCAGTCAGGGATAATATTATGACCACTGGCAGCTGAATGGCACTGCTTATCTCCTCAATATAGCACCTGGTCCATAGAAGGAACAACTGTAAACTGGCATGTATGAGCCGCTCCTAAAGAAGAGATACTGTAACTTCAATTGTTTCAAGATGTTTATTCTATTTCAGATAGAAATATGCTAGAAAACACAATAAATCACACATTGTTGCATATGGAGCTGAATAGCTGCAGAATAATCAGGGTTCCCATGACAACCCCATCTAAAACAGAAAAAATATACACCCGAGCACCAGAGCTGGACTGTGGAACAATAGTACATGTGGAGCTATCTGCAAAGAACATTAATGGCCGGATGCACCCGTCATTTTCTGGGGTAAGACATGGCAGCAAAGCATTCCCTGCTGCAAAGCAAAACTGATTCCAGAATGCTTTATTTCAGAGGTCTTCAACAGGGGGCCCGCGACCCCTAGGGGGTCCACGGAGGTACTGCATAGGTTTGTAAAGGTTTTGGTTGATAAAAGTTTTTTTAATATTATCCCCTGCAATTTTTTCCGCTAATTGAAATGTCTTTAAATCCACATTAACATGAATTCAACACACTGTAGTAAACAGATAAATGGAGGCAGAAGATGTCTTTCAGTCATCAATGCTCACATTCAGCGACACACAGGAGCTCTTTCAAGCTGGGCACCGTTTCATTCACAACACCTGTCCCATCAACCAGGAACCAGAATCAGAAATACTTTAATAATCCCAGGGCCAAATTACTTTTGTTGCATGACTCCATCTGTAATAGAGTGACTATAGGACAAGTTTTATATAACACAATTTCATACAATATATATAATTAGGGGGTCCCCGCTCCATCCCGCCATCAGTTTGGGGGTCCTTGACCTGGAAAATGTTGAAGACCCCTGTTTTAATGAAAGTGTAGATTAAGATGTTGAATTGAGCACAATGTTCTCCTGATCTCAGTCAACCTGAAGATCTGTAGGATGTGGTTCACAAAAAAGCCTGATCCACTGAGTCAAAAGCTGCAGCTTTTCGGACTTAAAAAAACACATATTGGTATCAGATACCCCAGCACACTGTCAAGAGTCCAGTGCTTATGTATAGCTTCAAGATTATCCTCAGCATCTTCATAGCTAATTTGGCCTTGTTTTCTTTTTTTCTTAAATTACCGGTAGGTATTTTTTCCCCCAATCTCTTTCTTATTGTCTAATTGTGAAAACAGACCATAACTCAGGTAGATGAGGTCTTCACCCATTTCATAATTTAAAAAAAGAGAAAAATTACTTTTTCGGGCCAACATATTTTGAATATTATGTAAAGTCCAAATACATAAAATCTTTCCTCCTTTTTTCCCTCATTTATTCATGACATTCTACCAAGATATAAAATGAGTTCCATGTTCTGTGATATTGCTTTAACTGACTGGTCAGTATGCATGACTTTCACCTGGTAGTCTGTGGGATTGAATCTTGAGTTATAAAATTCAAAAAAATTATAAACCGCTCTAAAATGGTAAAACAGAAAATCTGACTTACTCTTGAAGGATGTTGACAACAATCTGTCATCTAAAACTGTGAGAGAAACCAAAAACACAGAAAGATTAAGAGATTAAAGTACTGCAATGCATGTTGTGTTAAAAGAAACACAAGCAGAGAAAACAGATGCAGGCTGCGAGACAAATGGTTACCTGAGGCTCTCATTTCTCTGATCTCCAGAGCATTAGTTGGTCTTTTTGGTGATGCTAGGGTCCTTTTCACAGTTGTATCCAAATCAGCCATAGCGTTGTCAACAGATGCTTCTTGGCCTGCAGGGACTTTAAACTCCGACAGGTAGTAGGCAATAACACTTCCCTCACTGCAAACATCAGCATCAGAAACTTGTTATTATAGCCACCAAGCTTACTAACATCGAATAAAAAACAAATTCTTAAGATGATCTTAATCTATTTTCCCTTTAGGATTAAAAAAGTATTTTTGAGTTTCATTCTAAACATCCTGCGAGATAACATAAAAAAAACTATGCTGGATTCAAAAATGCTCTCTACAAGAAAGGCCAAAGCAGACTCTTCCTGCTTAGGAGACTGAGGTCTTTTGGAGTGCAGGATGCTCTCCTAAAGACCTTCTATGACTGTTGTCTCATCAGCCATCTTCTATGGAGCTGTCTGTTGGAGCAGTGGCTTATCTGTTGCTGAGAAAAAGCGGCTTGATAAGCCGATCAGGAAGGCCAGCTCTGTGATTGGATGCCCTCTGAACTTAGTGCAGGAAGTGGGAAACTAAATTATCCTAACTAAATTAACATCTCCGTTGGATAATGTCTCCCACCCCATGCATGAAGCTGGTGCTGAACTGGAGAGCTCCTTCTGGAACAGACTGCTGCACCCGAAATGCACCAGGGAGCGTTATCACAGATCCTTCCTCCCAGCAGCGGTAAGACTTTTTAACCACCACTGTTTCCAACAACCTCAATAAGTTGTTACACTAACACACCATCAGTGTGTGAGTGTGTGCGTGAATGGGTGAATGACTGAATGTAGTGTAAAGTGCTTTGGTCAAGTCTCCTGACTTGAAAAAGCGCTATATAAGTACAGGCCATTTACCATTTACCTTATTGATTTTTGCACAGTTTCTATCTAAGTCAATTAAATAACATGCTGCTGTCATTTTGCACATCTCTCATGTTGCTATTTTCAAAAGTCCATTACTGTAAAAATATCCACAGCTGTATATTGGTTATTACATCCCCAGGTGCACAGTAATTATATATTTTAAAAACATTTTACAGTACAGTTTTTTGTTTATTTTTATAACTCTTCACTATTACCGGTATGTTATTTTTACACACTCTTCTAAGGTCCACATTTTTTCTAGCATCTTTTTGCTGCTGTAAACACCAAAATTTTCCCCATTGTGGGACCATAAAGGGATTTTCTATTCTATTGTAAAATAACTAAATAAATCCCATGTTATATATAGTGTCAACAAGAAGAGAGATATGATTTAATCTTCAGTCATACCTGAATGCTTGAACAACAGAGCCGACATAATATTTCTTCAGCTTTGGGTTGTTGGTGTAAATAACTTTTAGCTATAGAAGTTCATAAGGAAAAACATAATTAGGAAATGCTTGATTAAAAATGGTAATACTTTCTCCATACACTAAGAAAGAGAGCCTGACAGACTTACATCTCGCAACACCTGCTGAACCAGAGCCTTGAACTCGGGAGAGCTGGAGTTCTTATAGGCGTTTTCAAACACCTGGTTCTCAACCTTCATTGATCCAATGTACATCCTCTTGGATAACTGTTCTGTACGGACTGAAAGGTACACAAAGAGTAGGCATGTCTCAAACCTTTCAGCTTAATAAATCGTCTGTTACTAAAGAAGCTTAACTTTCTTTAGTAAATGTCATAATTTGGCCTTTTTAGCAATGCAACCCATTCTGGGATACAAGATCATTGATAATTGCAAGAGAGCGAGCACGAGCCCATTTCTCCTTGTGCATGCTCTGTTTAAAAGTTGCTGTTCTCATAGCTCATACAGGCTTACTAAAAACTAAACTAAAAGAGAACTAAAAACTCAAACCCCAAAAGGGGAGAACCATAACAATTACACTCATTCCTTAAGTTAAAAGTCCTTCAAAAGGATCACAAAGAAAGTCCAGAAGTCCCAGGAAATTCACCACACTGACTTAAACAAATAAAAACACAGTTTTGCTGTTATGTACTGCTAGCCAGCTGGCTTAGAGAGGAGTACAGTAAGCTACATTCCTAAACACAGGGACTTGTATGTGCAAATTAAAGGAGCTTCAACCACTGAGGCTCCCCTTCCATCACTGCTCCTTTTTCTCTTTTAATATAAAATAAAAACAGGAAGACATTCAGACCAGAAAACAGGATGGATGGAAGGAAGGAAGGAAGGAAGGAAGGAAGGAAGGAAGGAATCAAGGAAGGAAGGAAGGAAGGAAGGAAGGAATCAAGGAAGGAATCAAGGAAGGAAGGAATCAAGGAAGGAAGGAATCAAGGAATCAAGGAAGGAAGGAATCAAGGAATCAAGGAAGTATGCTTTTAAAACTTATTTTGATATTGGCTGCATTTTTCCTTCCCAGCATTTTTTGAAGCACTATTTGTGTTTGTTTTGGAGTTTACATGTTTCATGGGTTTGTTTGGTGTCGCAACTTACTTTGCATCTGCACCTGCTGACCACTGTAGGATTTAATTATTTTAGTTTTCTCAACAATCTCTTTCTTTTGCTGTTTTATTCAAATTACTGAAAAAATGAATACACAATATTTGATTTCATTATTCTTATCTGTTTTCAGGAAAAAAATATTTAGTAAAAAGAAAAATAAAACTGACTGGTTCAGCACTTTTTTTGTTTTAGAATCATAATTATTCATGGTCAAGAAGTGCACCAAAGAATCGTAGGCGCTAAAGGCTCCTGAAATAGTGACTATAACTATAAATTTGAAATCAGAGTAATTTTTAAAACCAAAGTCATATTTCTTGTTTTTGCATACAATCTGGTCACAATCTCTGATTCTGATTTGTTTTCTATTCTGCGGGCGGAGCATCTTCATTCCTTCACTCTCTGTGGAACTGGTTTCATACACACAATTCATCCAGCTCTGTAAAGTTATTCCCTTATCAAACAAAGAAGCTACTTACATTGGAAATGCCAGATCAGCAGCCCCGTCATGAGAGCAATAACAGCTGCCAAGATCACCGCCCCAATCACTACGGCCGTCTTCCCTGGACCATTCTTCTCCAGCGTTTTGTTTTCTGACTCTTTTGGGAACTTCTCAGACTCAAATTCTTTACCCTAAAAAAAAAAAAGGTAAAGAAATTTTTTGTGGAGGTGCACCCGTAAAGGCTCTTACCCAAAGAGAAAATGGAATTTATTACCTGAGAAATTTTAACATACATACAATGGTTTGTTCATCATGTAGGTCTGATGCTTGTTAGATTTTTTGTTGCTAGTATTTATAAGCAAATAGTAGACTATGTCATACACAAAAACGTATCATCCACAAAACCAAATATTAATTTTTTTTGTAAGTGTAAGGAAATAACTTTTTTCTAAGTGAGTGAGAAACTTGAAAGATTTTTTTGCACAACTTCAAAGTTCTGAAGTAATTGGTTACGAGAACTGTTATTAGTTTTCTGGACTAGTTTGGGTTTATAATTTTTGCACTCGGTTTCTTAAACTACTGTCTGCAATCATTTGTCACCAAATTTCATTAAACCTCAGGCTGCTACAGTAGGAGCCAATTTGAAATGGCCCTTCCCAGTCAAACCGCATAGCAGCCCGCTTCCCTGCAACTCCCAGCAAAATCCCCTCCAACTTCCAGCAACTGCAGTGACCCCCTCATGCATATTTTTTTACTCTGACTCCACCCTTTTACTGAAATTCAGGGTCTGGCCAGTAAATGGTACCTCTCTTTAGATCTTAATGTCCACAAATAATGACAGAAAGAATATTTTAGTACAAAGATTGATGTTTAAAAAGGAACTGTAGGGGACCAGGCAAGGACCAGCCAAGAGCACATCAAGGAATGTGGGGAAATTTTGAATGACTACTACTGTTTAGTCCTTTAGGTCAGTAGCGCTTTAAATTAAGTAAAACCTGGAAATTCTCCATTTGTGCAAAAAAAATTTTTTCTGATAACTCTAAATATTATAGAGTACCATCAAATGCCATCAGAAGTCACCTAGTAAATAGACACCCATCTTTATGCAGTCAGAAAGGCTGCAAGCATAATCCTCTTTGCATTTTTGTTGGTAGTATTTATGAGTTTATAATAGCCAATGTTATATGCATATAACAATATAACTACATCTTTATCTCAAGTTATGTTATGTTATGTCATTGCACAACCCTGCTGCTATTTTTATTTTTTGGTTCCTGTAACTGATCTTCTAATCTGACCATGTCATTATGCATGCCTAACAATGACTTTGAAGTTGTTCTGTGGAAGAAGATGCTTTAAGTGCATTCCCGACAGACCAAGCATAGATAACATACTGCTCCACCCTAAACAGAGCAGCTTCCTGCATTCCTGTACAAGTAAACCCACTTGGTGGTAGAGTGCAATAGTTTGGCTCTCAATGCACTGTGTAAAGTTAGTTATAGTTTCTATAGGTAGTGTTAAAGTAGCAGGGAGGCAAGGCATCACTATAAATCTCAGGTATGGTCATGCCCCCTGCAGATCAGAGTACCATTAGACCACCTGCAGTGTGGTGCTCTCTGTTTCTTGAATTGACAAATTCATGTGTCACTAACGCTGAATTTCATCAAGCCTCAAGTTCCTGTACTGCTTTAGGCCAACAGGAATAGTTATGATGTCTTATTGTATGATTGAGCAGCTAATTTTCCTTCCCTTTGTCTTCTGTTACAGCTCTTCTATACTGCCACAGCTTGTAACTTTATTTGCCACAATTCACAGAGTTTGTCCTTTCAGCCTCTGCCCTGAACAGAGATTTTGAAACATTTTAGGGTTCTTGTCCACAGATTTGCCAATGACTTAAGGGAAAAAAGCTAATCAAACCAACCTGATGTTTGATTAAAAATATATCACTCTCTAAACATAGTACACTATGTGCTCCACCTTAATTCCCTTAATAATTAAATCCTCATTGAAATCTGATTCTATAAACTACTCAAGCTGATGGTAGTTTCCAGCTTTCTTTCACTTGTAAATAACAACATTATAAGATTGATCGTATTTATTCATCAAGGCAAAGTCATAAACCTTTGTCTTGTGAGAGACAGATGTTAATACATGTTATCTGTGTTCTCTTTTATACTCAATAAGGGATGTGAAACTCCTTGGCATTTGTTTTGGAAACTGTGTGGTCAGGGGTGGATATAGCATCGGTTCTATGCAACTGTTAGATTCTGGACCCAGATAACTGTCTTAGAGGGTGTAGCTGTGAGATAAATGTATGAGAAATCCTAAGATCTTTGCCATTTTGTTGTTCCCACAGCTATGGCCAAGAAGGAAGGCCTAAGGACAAGAAGGTGAATATGTCCTCTGCAATTAATGCCTAAATCAATGATTTTGTTAACTGATTTGTTTGTTTCTCTTTGGACACCCTGAGAAACATTGCCTCTCAGATTACGAACCAGATAATCGAACAGTCTGATTTTTTCAGGGCTCAGACATAGTAGATGCTGCTGACCAGAGTGTTTAGAGACACTTAAAGAAATATATGTCAGAGTTAATCAGAAATCTGTTTTTTGCTTTTACTATGACTGCAATCAATCCTAAATATTTCCTTCAAAGATTTGTGGCACCGTTTATTAACTCATCCTCCAAATTCAAGGTAATTCTTTGGATTAAGTAATTCAGTTTCATTTAAGACAAGTAAACAAGAAAGCAAGTTGACTTCTGAACTGATTAAAGAACTAGACAGATATTTTTCTTACAAAGCTGAACTTCTGAAGGTGGAACTGAGCCTTGGTTCAGGTTTTGTTACTGTTCTTGGAAAAAACATCTGAAAAAAACGCTGTGAGGAGACGTATAATTCTATTTCTACTTTAGGTTTAGCTGAAGACACAGAAATCAAGTTACTATTTGTTTTTGAGACTACCTATAAAGTATGACTAAAGTTACAAATTACAAACAAAATATTACTAAAACCCTGTTTAATTCTAAAGCCAAATAACTGCAGAAAAACCCCAGCAATAATTGACACCCACCTCATATTTCTTGAGAACTCCAGCTTTTATAATCAGAACTTTTCAGTATTACTGAATCTTTTAGAAGTTTAGAGTTACTTTTTTTTTTTTTTTCATTTTCTTTTGAACTGAGGCAAACACATGTATATAAGAAGTGACTAGCTGAGACGGCCATTATCTCATCATACATTGGTTGAAATAAACAAAAAAAAGAAACTGATAATTTCATTTCATACCAGTCAAGCATGTTGGTTCAACATTTAGACCATCATGGAAAAATATGGAAAGCCAGCAGAAGATTGCACCACCACCCTTTAAAGCTTACCATTTTTGGTGCACATTTTGATCCACTGTCCATGTTGTCCATCAGTTTATTAAAAATGTCTAAAACATTCCTTTTTATTGCCTGTCTTGTTTTTTTTGTTTTGTTTCAGTAGATGAAGCCTGTTGGCTGCTTCCCGAGGTGAACCTGCAGGCTCAGTACCAACAGAATCCTCAGTTTAATTGATTGAGATTAAACAATAAAAAAAATGTTGAATGTCTAGAAATATTAAAAAATGACAGAAAAATACGACAACAACTCTGACCACTCTTTTTCAACTGAGAAGTTGATTAGCTGCCACCGAATATAACCGTTCAAGTTTTTTTAGGGCGTGGAAAAAATAAACTACCCTTTCTGGGTTTTGCCCTATTGTTATCGGATCGTCGCTCCCACCCAAATACCTGTAATAACTTCCTGTTCACACGAAAGAGCAAACTGCGACAGAAATAACTTTGTCATATACCATCATAAATGTATAAATCAGAAGACTTGTGTAGGTTCTACCGACGATTTTGTTTTACTCTGTCCGTCTGCAAGTGGTCATGTGATGTTATTTGAGCATCAGTTTTGGGTTAACGAAATCAAGATTATTCCTGCTGTGCCATTGCATGATCCAGTTGCTATTTTTTTGTCTTTGTTTCCTGATACTGGTCTTTTAATCTGACCCTGTAATTACACATGCCAAAGATGACTAGAAGGAAGTTCTGTGGAAGAAGATTCTTTACGTTTGCATTCCGGACAGACAAAGCATAATTAATATACTGCTGCATTCTAAGCCCAGTGGCTTCCTGCATTCTAGTACAACTCATATACCCCAGTAGTGGTAGCACACAAAATTAAACTGTCAATGAATGTGTGCGGTTAATTTGTCTAAATGAACATTGATCGTCATTTTTACTGGCATCATTAACTATCACCTTAGTGAAGGCAACAGGGTCACTTTAAATCTTATGTCCATTTGGGCCTCTGCAGTGTTGTGCACTCATTTTGCTTAATTAACCTCTATATTCTTTTGTCACTATTACAGCATCTGTAGCTGTTGGTGTGCTCTTTAGTGTTCTACCTCCTGAGACTGTGGCTGGACTGGCTTATTACCCTATTTCCCACGTACTGTTTCTGTGCAGGTGGATCTGGTCTCCTTGTGAAAGTCAATGTCAAAATTATTTATATAGCACTTTAAAAACAGGTATAAAACTAAACAAAAGTGTCATGATTGGATCAATGGACTTAACCCACATGCAGAACACAAAACTGGAGACAGAGGAAAATTTAACAATGTTTATTTAGGACAACACACATAGTTAAGGAGGACTGGTTCTGGTGCAGGTCCGGGACTGGTTTCACTGATATCTGAAGAGATGAGAGTTTGGTTAGCCAGGCAGTAAGATGGCTTGACGAAATAAGTTGAATTCTGATTATACCTTGAAGAGGTTCTGACAGATCCTTGAGAGGGGAAACCGGTTGGGTCCAGAGAATGTGGAAGTAGCAGAGAACTCGGCAGCAGCAGCGTCTAGCTTCTGGCAAGAGAGTCTCAGACTTGGGTTTAGCTTCCTAGCTCTTCCCTGAGAGCTGAAGGAGGAATCCAGACTGAAATCTTCAGGTTTACCTTCCTAGCTCTTCCCTGAGAGCTGAAGGAGGAATCCAGACTGAAATCTTCAGGTTTACCTTCCTAGCTCTTCCCTGAGAGCTGAAGGAGGAATCCAGACTGAGATCTTCATGTTTAGCTTCCTAGCTCTTCCCTGAGAGCTGAAGGAGGAATCCAGACTGAGATCTTCATGTTTAGCTTCCTAGCTCTTCCCTGAGAGCTGAAGGAGGAATTCAGACTGAGATCTTCAGGTTTAGCTTACTTGGGCAGGCAGGCAGGTTTCCAGGTAAAGCTCATCCAGTGCTTCAGACTTCAGTCAGGCTTTCTGTGAGTAAAGAAGACAGAGGCAGGTTAGAATCCAGTTTCTCTCTAGAGTCTACTGTGATTCACTAGATTAACAGAGGCTTAGGTTTTGCTAACCAAACTTGGTCAACACTCCGGCGTCGAAGGAAGGTCTGACTGCTGCTTATGTTGGAAGGTCTCCTAATGGGTTGATGAGCTTCAGGTGTGCTGGAGGCTCCAGCCCAGGAGACCCACAGTGCTCTCTGCTGGAGACAGATGGTAGATCTCCAGATCCCAACAGTAACTCCAGTCCTTAACAGAAAACAAATAACAGAAGAGGCTCCTCGGCGCCCTCTGGTGGGCAAGCCTAAGGATCCCAACAAAAAGTGCATTACAGGAAAGACAACAGCACCAATTAACAAAACAGAATGTGAAACACTGCTTCAAATAAAAGCCGAAGAATAAAAATAAGTTTTAGGAAGCCATTTAAAATAATCCAGGCTGTGGACAGATTTAATTTGAAAAGGTAAATTGTTCCACAGAATTGGAGCAACAACAGAGAAAGCCCGATCTCCGTTCCTCTTAAGTCGAGTCAGAGGAACTGTCAGTAATAGTTGATTATTTGAACGTAGACTTCTTGACACAGACTGGAATTTTAAAAAGACTCTAAGATAAGGAGGAGCTAATCCATTTAAGACCTTATAAATTAATAAAAAAATCTTAAAATCTATTTGGTAAAAGACAGGCAGCCAATGTAAAAAGGCCGTTTAAGCCTTATATGGTCACGCTTCTTGGTTCCTGTAAGAAGCCTAGCCGCTACGTTCTGGATCAATTGAAGTCGCTGCATCTGTGATTTATCCATGCCTCTATATAATGAATTGCAATAATCCAACCGGAATGTAATGAAAGCATGGATAAGTCCTTCAAAGTCCTTAAAACAAAAATAAGATTAAATTTTTGCTAAAATCCACAGGTGATAAAAACTTGATCTAACAACAGAGCTAACTTGGTTGTCTAGCTTTAAACAGCTGTCAAAAGTAAAACCAAGATTCCTAGCATAGGTCTGACAAAACCGAGCTAAAGAGCCAAGAATCAGATCTGGATTTGTAGTATGAAGACTCTAACCAAAATAACTTGAGTTTTACTTTGATTAAGGTGAAGATGTTCCATCCAAGATTTGACTTCAGCTAAACAATCTATCAATAGCTGAAGAGATTAATTTTTTTCCATTTTTTAGTTTAAGGGGCATATAAATCTGAACATAATCTGCAAATAAATGAAAAGAAACACCAAACTTATGCAAAATCTGACCATGAGACAGTAAATACAAAATAAACGAAATATGACCTAGAATTGAGCCTTGGGGAACACCATACTTTAGAGGTTTGGCCCCAGAACAGCATTGGTTACGATGAACTGAAAAAGTTATATTTTCTAAATATTTTCTAAATAAGATTGAAACCATTTAAATACTGGGCTTCTCAGGCCAACATAATGCTTTAATCTGTGTAAGAGAATCTGATGATCCACAGTGTCAAATGCAGCACTCAGATCTAAAAGTAATAAAACTGCAACATTGCCTGAATCAACTGTTAAAAGAAGATCATTGTACTCTGGAAGCAAAGCTGTTTCAGTGCTATATACAGATTTAGACCCAGACTGAAATTTCTCAGTTAAATTTTTGTCTTTTAAAAACATCTCAAACTGATTAAACTGATTACTATTTTTTCCAGATAAAAAAGGGGGTTTGGAAATGGGCCTAAAATTTGCTAGTATTTGAATCTAGATTGGGTTTTTTAAGAAGGGGTTTAATCACAGCATGTTTAAGTATTGATGGGACACAACCTGACTGCAATGAGGCATTTATCACCATTAAAATAAAATGTCTGGAAGTGAGAAAAATGTCCTTTATCAGACGAGTAGGAAGACAATTCAAAGAATAATTTCTCCTTGTTACCTCTGGCTTACAAGTGGATTGTTTTTAAACTTTTACGGAATGACTATGACCTGGATGACTGGGAATCTTCATCAGCATCCAGAATTGTCCCATTCTCTTGGACCCTTAATATTAAATCAACTCTTACTCGCCTCACGACTGTGTTTTCCACAGACCCCATTCTCATCCAATCTGATCCCAAGAGACAACTCATCCTAGAGGTTGATGTATCTGACACTGGGGTCCACGCAGTCCTCTCTCAATGCTCTGGCCCTGATAAAAGTCTCAACCCCTATGCTTTCTTCCCATGTTTCCTGGCCCTGTCCGGGAGAAATTATGATGCGGCAGACTGTGAACTCCTAACCATTAAGTTGCCCTCAAGGAGAGGTATCACTAGTTGGGGTGCAGAACAACTGGTGCAGGTTTGGGCAGACCCTACAAATGTTTACTACCTCTAGTTGGTCAAGCACCTTAAGCCCTGTTAGACCCTTTGGTCCCTGTTCTTTTGAAGAATGTGTAACCCGACACCCTCTCCAGATGGTTTTCCTTTAATGACATTCCCCAAATTATCCACCACTATTATCCCCTCTCATTGCATTGTTGTTTCGGTAACCTTGGAGATCGAGGGCACAGTGCAAAAAGCCCTCAAAAAAGAACCTGAACCAAAATTTCCACCTCAGCCCATGTATTTACCGTTGTCTGTGTGTACCTGAGTTATCCACTGGTTCCATGCATCCAAGTTTTCCTGACACTCCGATTTGAGTCAGACCATTGCTCTGATCCAAAGATAGTTCTGGTCCTTCAGCCTTCAGAAAGATGTCAGAGAGTATATTAAATCCTGTTCAATCTGTGCCCGCAATAAATCCAACAACCAACCTTCCTCCTGTTCTACTTCATCCTCTGGGGATACTCAAGCACCCATTCTTCTACATTTCCATTAACTTTATCATTTGATTGCCTATCTCTTAAGGTATCACCATCATCCTCACTGTCATTGACAGATCTTACAGACCTCCGAGTTTCTTGTGAAACATGTATTCCGACTCCATGGCATCCCAGTAATTGTTCCCTCTCACCCTGGCCCCCAGTTCAACTCCCGGGTAAAGAAACAATTATTTTCCTCTGTTTTTACCAAAGTCAGTCTCACCTCAGGTTATCCTCTCCAGTCTAGGGTCCGACAGAGCATCTCAATCAAAAGGTTGAATCCAATCTCTATTGCCTCACTTCATCTAA